TGTTGTTGTTGTTGTTATTACTACATTTATTATTTTACTCCTTTTATTATTATTGGAAGGATATGTAAGTACATTTACACTGAAGAAGATTAGAATAATGGTTTAATCAGAGTTGGACAGTCTTATCTTAAATTACAGTTTTATGTTTATATTAAAAACATTTAACCTACCAATGACTTAATTAATGTTATTTTCTTGGTATCTATTTTTATTTTGAAATTTACCAGTAGCTGCTGCATTTCCCACCCTTATACTCGAGTCAATACATTTTCCCAGTTTTTTGTGGTAAAATTAGGTGCCTGGCTTATATTTGGGTCGGTTTATAGTCGAGTATATATGGTAGTCAAAATATAGGGTTTGCTATTATTTATGGTTTCAAATATTTACAGCAAAGCTTTCCAAGCTGTGTGCCACACCACATTAGTTTGTTGGCTGTAGTATTTATATGCGCCACATGAATATAACAAGAAACCTGTAAGTCTGTGTGAAATAAGCAATATAATACATTTACATATACATATATAAATAAAAAGTTGTGTCCCCATACATTTCATTATTACAGTTTATGTATGTGTCCATATCTCTTATAAGGGGTTGGTTTAACCTCTGCATTCCAAGTAAAACTGAATTACTGTTGCATAATGATGCATGTCTAAAATGGGTGTATCAAAAACATGAAATGTTTGGAAAGCTCTGGTTTACAGGGTAGTGTCAGTGGTCTTGGAATGTATCTGATGCAGAAAAGAGGGTTGTATTGCAGCTTAAAAATACTCTCCAAAATCAATATTCCCAGCACTTTGAACCTACCAGAATAAACTATCCCCACCTGCTCTCCTTCCTCTTTCAACTTCTCCTCTTTCTTACTCAGGAGGAAGCCTTCAGCCAGGGCCACTGCCTGGGAGCAGGTCTCTGCCCCACATTCATTGATCCAGTTCTCCATCTCTGGAGGAAGAACAGCCAGGAACTGCTCCAGGATCACCAAGTCTAACATCTGAGTCTTTGTGTGCTTTTCGGGCTCCAGCCATTGGTGGCAGAGGCTGTGGAGCTGGCTGCAAACCTTTCTGGGTCCTTCAGCCTCCTCATACAAGAATTGTCTGAAGTGCTGGCACTGTACATCTGAACTGAGCATGTCTGCCTCCAGGCTCTTCTGCTCACAGACTGAAGAAGAGGAAGGCCTTTTTCTAATGGGGATCCAGAGGAGCCCTGCTTGACCGCTGCTCCCATTCAGAGTCTTTTGCCAGACACTCCTGAAAGTTTGGAAATGCCAATTAGTTCAAAACACAGCAGTTAGATTGGTTACAGGAACATCTAGTGAGCATATCAACCTTATACTAAAGTCGCTCTACTGGTTGCCAATTAGTTTCCGGGCAAAGTACAAGGTGTTGGTTTTGATCTTTAAAGCCCTACATGGTTTGAGTCCAGGTTACCTACAGGATCACCTTCTCCTGTACAATGCCCCTCATACTGAGGTCCTCTGGGGGGGGGGGGGGTTACTCCAACTAGCCAAAACCCGACTGGCAACTACCACCCAGAGGGCCTTTTCATCGGCCACCCCACAACTGTGGAATGACCTGCCGGTAGACCTCCGACAGCTAAATCAAATACAAGTGAAGACCCATCTCTTCCAGCAGGCCTACCCAGTTTTAATGGTGAATGTTAAACTCCACAGTAAGTTTTTGTTTTGTGGATTCTGATACTGTGTGTAGAGAAGGCATTTATATACTGTATGTAGTATACACACATCGACACACAGTAGTCTTACACAGCTTGCCATGGATCCATCCTATGGAATCCTGGAATTTATTTATTATTTATTTATTTACAGCATTTATATGCCGCCCTTCTCACCCCGAAGGGGACTCAGAGCGGCTTACAAGATATATTTTCATACAATATATTATATTATTAGCATAGTACAATATCAGTATTATATATTACTATATTGCACTATACCATTATATTGTAATATTATTAGTAATATTACATGTAATGTAAATATATAATTATAATTATAAAATTGTATTATTATTGCGAGTTTGACATTTTATAGATCAGTGGTTCTCAACCTGTGGGTCCCCAGGTGTTTTGGCCTACAACTCCCAGAAATCCCAACCAGTTTACCAGCTGTTAGGATTTCTGGGAGTTGAAGGCCAAAACATCTGGGGACCCACAGGTTGAGAACCACTGTTCTAGAGGCATTCTCTCCTGACGTTTCGCCTGCATCTATGGCAAGCATCACTACCTCTGAGGATGCTTGCCATAGATGCAGGTGAAACGTCAGGAGAGAATGCCTCTAGAACATGGCCATATAGCCTGAAAAACCTACAACAACCCAGTGATTCTGGCCATGAAAGCCTTCGACAATACAATTATAATATGGTATTGTTATTACTAGTATTACATGGTATTACATTATAATATTATAAATATTATATGTATATACAATATACTATATTATATTATTAGTAAAGACTGTCTTCTGCTCCCCTCTGTCTTCATTTGTAGTTTGTTATGGTCAGAGAAGGGAAAACACACACACACATACATAGGATATGATTGTAGTGATACCAAAGACTGGAGGGAGGCTGGAGGCCTGGTCTGCTTTCTTCAGCCCCCTTCCTTATAGAGATCCCCACTTGCCTTCCCATCTCCCCACCCAAAACCCTCCTACTTTATTTATTTATTTACGACATTTATATGCCACCCTTCTCATCCCGAAGGGGACTCAGAGTGGCTTACAAGTGGACTCAGAGTGGCTTACACACACACACACACACACACTGTATTATATTATTAGCACAGTACAATATCAGTATTATATATTACTATATTGTACTATACCATTATACTGTAATATTATTAGTAATGTTACATGTAATGTAAATATATAATTATAACATTGTATTATTATTACTAGTATTATATTGTATTACATTATAATATTATAAATATTATATGTATATACAATATACTATATTATATTATTAGTAAAGACAAGATGGAACTGTCTTCTGCTCCCCTCTGTCTTCATTTGTAGTTTGTTATGGACAGAGAAGGGAAAACACACACACGCACATACATAGGATATGATTGTAATGATACCAAAGACTGAAGGCAGGCAGGGAGGGATGCTGGAGGCCTGGTCTGCTTTCTTCAGCCCCCTTCCTTATAGAGATCCCCACTTGCCTTCCCACCTAGAATCATAGAATCATAGAGTTGGAAGAGACCTCATGGGCCATCCAGTCCAACCCCCTGCCAAGAAGCAGGAATATTGCATTCAAAACCCCTGACAGATGGCCATCCAGCCTCTGTTTAAAAGCCTCCAAAGAAGGAGCCTCCACCACACTCCGGGGCAGAGAGTTCCACTGCTGAACAGGCTATGACACCTATCATCATAACACAGGCTCTTTGATTCTATGATTCTATGAATGCTAAGGAATAATGAGAGTTGTAGCTTGAGGAATCATAGAATCAAAGAGTTGGACAGATTAGAGAGATGGGCCAAAACTAACAAAATGAAGTTCAACAGTGACAAATGCAAGATACTCCACTTTGGCAGAAAAAATGAAATGCAAAGATACAGAATGGGTGACGCCTGGCTCGAGAGCAGTACGTGTGAAAAAGATCTTGGAGTCCTTGTGGACAACAAGTTAAACATGAGCCAACAATGTGATGTGGCGGCAAAAAAAGCCAATGGGATTTTGGCCTGCATCAATAGGAGCATAGTGTCTAGATCTAGGGAAGTAATGCTACCCCTCTATTCTGCTTTGGTTAGACCACACCTGGAATATTGTGTCCAATTCTGGGCACCACAATTCAAGAGAGATATTGACAAGCTGGAATGTGTCCAGAGGAGGGCGACTAAAATGATCAAGGGTCTGGAGAACAAGCCCTATGAGGAGCGGCTTAAGGAGCTGGGCATGTTTAGCCTGAAGAAGAGAAGGCTGAGAGGAGATATGATAGCCATGTATAAATATGTGAAAGGAAGCCACAGGGAGGAGGGAGCAAGCTTGTTTTCTGCTTCCTTGGAGACTAGACGCGGAACAATGGCTTCAAACTACAAGAGAGGAGATTCCATCTGAACATGAGGAAGAACTTCCTGACTGTGAGAGCCGTTCAGCAGTGGAACTCTCTGCCCCGGAGTGTGGTGGAGGCTCCTTCTTTGGAAGCTTTTAAGCAGAGGCTGGATGGCCATTTGTCAGGGGTGATTTGAATGCAATATTCCTGCTTCTTGGCAGAATGGGGTTGGACTGGATGGCCCAAGAGGTCTCTTCCAACTCTTTGATTCTATGATTCTATAAGGAAGACTGAGCAATCCATTCCAACCCCCTGGAAAGAAGCAGGAATACTGCATTCAAATCACCCCTGACAGATGGCCATCCAGCCTCTGTTTAAAATCCTCCAAAGAAGGAGCCTCCACCACACTCCGGGGCAGAGAGTTCCACCGCTGAACAGGCTAGGACACCTATCATCATAACACAGGCTCTTTGATTCTATGATTCTATGAATGCTAAGGAATAATGAGAGTTGTAGCTTGAGGAATCATAGAATGAAAGAGTTGGAAGAGACCTCATGGGCTATCCAATCCAACCTCATTCTGAAAAGAAGCAGGAATATTGCATTCAAAGCACCCCTGACAGATGGCCATCCAGCCTCTGTTTCAAAGCCTCCAAAGAAGGAGCCTCCACCACACTCCGGGGCAGAGAGTTCCACTGCTGAACGGCTCTCACAGTCAGGAAGTTCTTCCTCATGTTCAGATGGAATCTCCCCTGCTTTCCTCCTCCTCCTCCAGCCCTGACACCCCAGAGGAGGCCCTTTCCTCCCCAGAAATCCACAAAAGGAGGAGCTGACAGACTGACCTCTTCTTCCTCAGTCCACTCCAACTTCTGCTTTGACGTTCCTTCCGGGTTCCCTGCCGGAAAGGGCGGGACTAAAGCGGAAGAGTGACAGCTCTGGCTTCCCACCCATATGGGAAGAAAAATACCAGGGTCGCGCGCCGACGGCCGGAAGGGGCGGGTCCAAGGCTGAGGAGTGACAGCGCTGCTGCTTCTCAGAGGGAGTGAGTAGGGCTTCCCTTCTCCTTCGGGCCAGGCCTGCTTTTGTCTTCCAGGAGGAGGCGAGGAAGGCCCCGAGAGGCCTGGTAAGGAAGCGGAGGGGAAACTGACAGCTGGGGATCAACCTTCCTAATGCCACGACCCCTTCATACACTTCCTCGTGGTGTGGTGACCCCCAGGCATAGGATTATTTCCATTGCTAACTCTAATTTGGCTACTGTTATGAATCCTAATGTAAATATCTGATATTCAAGATGTATTTTCATTCACTGGACCAAATTTGGCACAAATACCTGAAACAACCAAATTTGAATACTGGTGGAGTTGGAAAGGGGATTGATTTTGTCATTTGGGAGTTGTAGTTGCTGGGATTTATAGTTCACCTACAATCAAAGCATTCTGAACTCCACCAATGATGGAACTGAACCAAACTTGGCACACAGAACTCCCATGACCAACAGAAAATACTGGAAGTGCTCTGGCGTGGGCTGGTCCTTGAGGTCATGGAGAGTCGGAAGCAACTGAAGCTAGGACATTAAGATCGTCCGGGGAGGCCCTGCTCTCGATCCCGCCAGCCTCACAAGCACGGCTGGTGGGGACGAGAGACAGGGCCTTCTCAGTGGTGGCCCCTCGGCTGTGGAACACCCTTCCCGCAGACATTAGATCGGCCCCCTCCCTGCTGGCGTTCAGGAGAAGAGTAAAGACCTGGCTCTTTGAACAGGTGTTTAATTAAGCAGTGCAACCAATTGATTGACCTTGGAACTTGGAATAATGGACGAGGAGATCAGATTATGACTTTACTGATGAGACGTGATGGATTAGTTATTTGGATGTATTGATGTTATATTGATGTACTGATCATCAGTACATCCCAATAACTAATCCATCACGTCTCATCAGTAAATGTACTGTACTGATGTATTGTTATATTGATGTAGTTGCCTTAGTTACTGTTTTAAATGCTAATGTTATGCACTTTGTATATTTACCTGGCTGTAAACCGCACTGAGTCGCCTACGGGCTGAGAGAGTGCGGTATACAAATAAAGTAAATAAATAAATAAATAAACTAACAAAATGAAGTTCAACAGTGACAAATGCAAGATACTCCACTTTGGCAGGAAAAACGAAATGCAAAGATACAGAATGGGGGACAATGCCTGGCTTGAGAGCAGTACGTGTGAAAAAGATCTTGGAGTCCTCGTGGACAACAAGTTAAACATGAGCCAACAATGTGATGTGGCGGCAAAAAATGCCAATGGGATTTTGGCCTGCATCAATAGGAGCATAGTGTCTAGGTCCAGGGAAGTAATGCTACCCCTCTATTCTGCTTTGGTTAGACCACACCTGGAATATTGTGTCCAATTCTGGGCACCACAATTCAAGAGAGATATTGACAAGCTGGAATGTGTCCAGAGGAGGGCGACTAAAATGATCAAGGGTCTGGAGAACAAGCCCTACGAGGAGTGGCTTAAGGAGCTGGGCATGTTTAGCCTGAAGAAGAGAAGGCTGAGAGGAGATATGATAGCCATGTATAAATATGTGAGAGGAAGCCACAGGGAGGAGGGAGCAAGCTTGTTTTCTGCTTCCCTGGAGACTAGGACGCAGAACAATGGCTTCAAACTACAAGAGAGGAGATTCCATCTGAACACGAGGAAGAACTTCCTGACTGTGAGAGCCGTTCAGCAGTGGAACTCTCTGCGCCGGAGTGTGGTGGAGGCTCCTTCTTTGGAAGCTTTTAAACAGAGGCTGGATGGCCATCTGTCAGGGGTGATTTGAATGCAATATTCCTGCTTCTTGGCAGGGGGTTGGACTGGATGGCCCATGAGGTCTCTTCCAACTCTTTGATTCTATGATTCTGTGATTCATGCTACATAATTTGGGCATTTTGGTAAAAATTTAACTGCTATAGCTGCATCCTGGAGCTTGACATTTGGGAGTTGTGGTTGCTGGAATTTATAGTTCACTTAAAATCACAGAGCATTCTGAACTCCACCAATGATAGGATTGGGCCAACATTCTCACACAGAACCCCCATGACCAACAGAAAATACTGTGTTTTCTGATGGCCTTTGGCAACCCCTCTGACACGCCCTTACGACCCCCAGGTTGAAAAAAAAACCTGGATTATCCACCCTGATATTGTGGGTTAAACTTGACACAAATACTCAATATCTACATGAAGCTGCTGGGTGAGATCATCCGGAGTTTTGGAGTTCGATGCCATCTGTATGAAGATGATGTTCAACTCTATCACTCCTTTCCACCAGATGCTAAGGAGGCTGTCCAAGTCTTGAACCTGTGCCTGGACGCTGTGACAGTCTGGATGAGGGTGAGCAAGTTGAATCCAGACAAAACAGAGGTCCTTCTGGTCAGTTGCAAGGCCGAACAGGGTATAGGGTACAACCTGTGCTGGATGGGGTCACACTCCCCTTGAAGGCACAGGTTCGCAGCTTGGGAGTTCTCCTGGATTCATCACTGAGCCTGGAATCCCAGGTTGCAGCGGTGGCCAGGGGAGCGTTCGCACAATTAAAACTTGTGCGCCAGCTGCGTCCGTACCTTGGGAAGGCTGACTTGGCCACGGTAGTCCACGCTCTGGTTACATCCCGCTTAGATCCATCCAAGTCAGACTTGGCCACGGTGGTCCATACTCTCGTTACATCTAGGATAGAGTACTGCAACGCACTCTACGTGGGGTTGCCTTTGAAGACTGCTCGGAAGCTTCAAATAGTCCAATGAGAGGCAGCCAGGTTAATAACTGGGGCGGCATACAGGGAGCATACAACTCCCATGTTACACCAGCTCCACTGGCTGCCAGTTTGCTACTGGGCACAATTCAAAGTGCTGGCTTTGGCCTATAAAGCTCTAAATGGTCCTGGCCCAATTTACCTGTCTGAACACATCTCCCCCTATGAACCATCGCAGAGATTAAAATCCTCTGGGGAGGCCCTGCTCTCCATCCCGCCATTGTCACAGATGCGATTGGTGGGGATGAGAGACAGGGCCTTCTCGGTGACTGCCCCCTGACTATGGAATTCCCTTCCTGGTGAGATCAGATCGTCCCCCTCCCTCCTGTCCTTCAGAAAAGTGGTCAAAATTACAATTATTTATTTATTTATTTGCAGTATTTATATTCCGCCTTTCTCACCCCGCAGGGGACTCAGGGCATATTACAATGTACACATATATGGCAAACATTCAATGCCAAAGACACACAACAGATATACAGACAAACAGTCAGAGGCTATTTAACTTTTTCTGGCCGCCAGGGGAGCTGTCGCTTTCATCGTCCATCTGCGACACTGATGAAGTACTTCCGCATTCCCCGCATGCTTTTGCTGGAGTGCTTTGCTGGAGTCTTTTTTATGGCCTCGTAAATTAGTTAATTAGCCTCCCCACACATAGGTGGTACCTAATTTTCCTACTTGACAGATGCAACTGTCTTTTGGGTTGCAAAGGTTGACAACAAGCTACACAATTGGTCGGAAGCTCACTCTGACCCGGGCTAGCTTCAAACTCGTGACCTTTTGGTCAGAAGTGATGTTAATGCAGCTGACACTCAGACAGCTGTGCCACAGGCCCTCCCTCCAGATGTTTTGTACTTCTATTCCCACAATTCCCAACAGCCTCAGACTCTTTTAGTTCCTTAAGCGGCTGAGGGGGACAAAGAAAGAGCCTGAGGCTGTTAGGAATTGTGGGAGTTGAAGTCCAAAATACCTGGAGAGAGGGCCCAAGTTGGCCCAGGTCTGATCTACACTATAGAATTTGTATGTATATTGTCTCCAGAATTGCTCACGCACTGGATGTTTTGTTTCCTCTGCAGGAGCTGGTCTCCTTCAGTAATTTTGCCTTGGACAAGTCAAGAAAGCAGTTCTTTGGCCATGTTGAAAAGTGCCTGGAAGAAAAGAACAAACCCAGCTAGGCCTGAGTTAGATGAAGGCCTTCAAATGAAGCACAGAGAGGAGTACTTTGAAAGGACCACAAAGAAAAGCCTGGAGGAGGACGTGTTCACTTCGGATTTACAGCACCAGCACTTCAGGGGGTTCTGCTACGAGGAGGCAGAGGGGCCCCGGAGGGTCTGCAGCCAGCTTCATGCTCTTTGTCGGCAATGGTTGCAGCCAGAAAGACACACCAAGGCAGAGATGCTGGACCTGGTGGTGCTGGAGCAGTTCCTAGCCATCCTTCCTACGGAGATGGAGCGCTGGGTGAAGGAGTGTGGGGCAGAGAGTAGCGCTCAGGCCGTGGCCTTGGCAGAAGGATTCCTTCTCAGCCATGCAGAGGAGAAAAGGACAGAAGAGAAGCAGGTGAGAAGGATTCATCCTGGGGCCAGGAATGTTTATTTGTGAGTCTCATGTATGAGCAAGCTCTAGTTCAGGAAAGAAAAACTCTCAACGATCTAGAACACGCATCCTCAAACTGTGGCCCTCCAGCTGTTTGGGCCTCCAACTCCCAGAAGTCTCGGCCAGCTTGTTCAATGGTCAGGAATTCTGGAAGTTGGAGGCCCAAACAACTGGAGGGGCGCAGTTTGAGGATGCCTGATCTAGAAGATATATTTGAGAAAATAAAATTGAACCCCGCATAACATTGTTGTTAGACCTGAAGGATTAGCGCCTCTGCAATAAATTTATAGCACGAGAAGACAGGAAAGTTTAGAGAAGACAATAATGCTGGGGAAAATGGAAGGAAAAAGGAAGGAAAAAGGAAGGGGGGCCAACCAAGGGCAAGATGGATAGATGGCATCCTTGAAGAGATTGGCTTGACTGAAGGAGCTGGGGGTGGCCACGGCCAACAGGGAGCTCTGGCGTGGGCTGGTTCATGCCGTCACAAAGAGTCAGAAGCGACTGAATGGTTAAGCAACAACAAACAAGCTGGATGGCCATCTGTCGGGGGTGCTTTGAATGTGATTTTCTGCTTCTTGACAGGCCGTTGGACTGGATGGCCCACGAGGTCTCTTCCAACTTATGATTCTTTGCACCTGAGAATGGCATTGGCTTTTTTAGCTGCCGCATCGCACTGCTGTCCCATATTAAACTTGTGATCAGTCAACCAGTCCCAGTCCACCCAACAATACCCACCTTTTACTGGCCGCTTTGTGAGAAGCTAAACAATTATTATTTCATTGTTTTAGTGTTGTCTTGGAGCCTGTGCATTTAGATTTATTTATTTATTTATTTATTTATTTACAGTATTTGTATACCGCTTTTCTCACCCCGAGGGGGACTCAAAGTGGTTTACACATAAGTAATGGCAAAATTCAATGCCAGTACAAACAATTAACAATTATACACTATCTTTCATTGCACATTTTTATTTTTGTGTTCTAATTTCTGTAAGCCATCTGGTAGCCCAGTTCAGGGGAAGAGATAGGATATATACATGAACATGACACTAGTACTGATGATGGTCATGACAATGATTTTTTTCTGGAATCTAAAGCAATCTAAAGTGTTCACACAACCCCCTGCTTCCATTCTTTTCACCAAATCTCTTCCTTCTTTGCTGTTCTTGGTGCTACTTCTGATGCAGGACTGCTTTGTGGAAGAGAAGGCCGAGACCAGCAGGACCACACATGATGGCGACAGAGTGTCCGTCCCACTAGGTAAGGGCAAAGAGAGATTATAAAGTCAGGCTTTAGCACAGCTGGTTAATTACCAGCAGCAATCGATTTTACAAATCAAAAGGTTAGCAGTTCGAAGTCTGGGTCGGGGTGAGCACCTGATCTTCAGCCCAGCTCACTGTCCACCTAAGTAGTTCGAAAACAGTTGTGAGCTGTGAGTAGAGAAATTAGGCACCACTTAAGCGGGGAGGTATTTTACAGCACCATAAAGGAAATGCCAGAAAATCAAAGGAAGGAGGAAGTCTGTGATCAAGGGCTCTTCGTCATAAGGATGGAGTGACAGCACCCCCTGTGGCCGGAATCGAGCACAACCTTTAGGACGCTGAACTTGGGAAAAATGCAGACATAATATTTATTTATTTACTAGCCGTCCCTGCTATGCGTTGCTGTGTATATGCGTTTTGCTTATTTGCTTATTTTACTATCTCTCTATGAGATCTCCCTTACAATTAGTTCTGCCCCCTTATCTCACCCGGGGTTTTTAAAATCATTTTATGTGCATGCGGCCCACCCTCTGTCATTTTGTTATTATGTTTAGTTCCTATGTTCTGTGTATATTGTTTTATATGCTTTGATGTTTTATTTTAATGTTATGTTGTTTATTTTATTGCAATTTGTATTGTTATATTGTAATTCTTGTTTGGGCTTGGCCCCATGTAAGCCGCTCCGAGTCCCCCGTTGGGGAGATGGTGGCGGGGTATAAAAAGATTATTATTATTATTATATTATTATTATTATTATTATTATTATTTTGTGTGTGTATATGTGTATATATATGTATGTCTGTATATATTTGTGTATATGTGTATATATGTGTGTTTGCGTATAATATATATGTGGTTTTGTGTATGCGTTGTAATGTATTTTTAATTTTTTGGCTTTTAAGTCTCTTCTGCTGTGTTTTTCAGTGTTTTTATGAGTGATGATCACTTGTTGGCCTGTTAGGTGTATTGGGTCCAGATTTGGTGTCAATTTGTCCAGTGGTTTTGGGGTTATGTTAATTCCACAAAAGAACATTACATTTTTATTTATATAGATTTACGATATTTCTATTCCGCCTTTCTCACCCCAAAGGCAACTCAATGCAGCTTACAAATTTATGCCGTAATAGTCATAAAATACAATTAAAAATATTTAGAATAACAGTATAAAAATCCATACAAATCCATTAAAAACATATAATCACCATGTCTGTTAGTCATTTTCCAGTAGCATTGTCTAAGCTGTTCCGTGTTTCACTTTTTCATAGTTCCATGTTTATCTGTTACGCTGCATTTCCAAAGGCTTGTTCAAAGAGCCAGGTTGTTACTTTTTTTGGAAAGTCAGGAAGGAGGGGGCCGATCTATTACTATCTATTGTCTGTCTTGTATTTTTAATGGCATTGACTATTTGCTGTGTATGTGTTCTGCAATCTGCCTGAGTGAGAGGGGCGGAATATAAATGCTGTAAATAATAATAATAATAATAATAATAATAATAATAATACCAGCCCTGTTTTAGATTTGAGGGGGGGGGGGTGTCAGGAATTGATGCTCCTATGGGTTGGAGCATGACTGCTCATTGGAGGGAAGGAGATTAGAGGCCAAGATGAAGTACTTTGGCCACATCATGAGGAGACAGGAAAGCTTAGAGAAGACAATGATGCTGGAGAAAATGGAGGGAAAAAGGAAGAGGGGCCGACCAAGGGCAAGATGGATGGATGGCATCCTTGAAGTGACTGGACTGACCTTGAAGGAGCTGGGGGTGGTGACGGCTAACAGGGAGCTCTGGCGTGAGATGGTCCATGAAGTCAGGAAGAGTTGAAACGACTGAACGAATAAACAATAACATGGGTTGGTATCCTGGCCACTAGATGGCCCCAGAGTCCATCATGTTTTTATACCTTAATTTTCTGTGACTGAAAACCCTCCCTCCTCCATCTCCTAAATGCAATGAGGAAAGCTGAATTTTTCGTTGTTACTGTTTCTTGTAGGTATTTCAGTTGAAACTTGCTTTGAGATGTGACCCTTGTTTAAATTTAGGATGTAATTATTACAAGCCAAAAACTTATGTGCTTTTCCTTTCAAGATAGTTAACATTGTGTGACTGTTTAATAGTGTCTTGCCCTCTTGTTTGGTTCTATTGTGTTTGTCATATTTTTCTAGCTCTGTCAGCCTTTGCGTTCGTACACTTTCTGCAGTTACTGTCCTGTTTTTTATGGGTTTTTTTTCTGTTATCGTATTTGCTACGATATGGAAAAACTTGAATCAGAAACAGTAGAAAATAACCATCCTTTTTGCTTTTTCTGTTTGTCACAGAAGCTGAAATAAGTTCAGAGGGTATATGTACAATCACGTCTCTTCATTCCGATGGATATAGAACAGCATCTCCAAGATCGGATCAGGTATTAGGCAGGAAGTGCTTAAACGAAATGCCCACATATCTTTCTATCTTTTGCTCTCCACAAAATCTCCCTCTTTTGCTTTGCAAGGGCCCCTAACAAGGACTGTGAATTACACTGAGTTCTTTTAAGAAACCCAAAGCTAAATCAGACTTTGATTCGGCTACATGATAATAATAATGTTTTGAATGTGTTTTAATCTAATGTTTTATCTTTTGTATAATACTAGCTATCCCCTGCAACGCATTGCTGTGGCCCAGTCTTGTGATCTGGAAAATAAAGTAATGAGAAAGTGTTGGTTTCTAATATATGTAATTTCTTTATGCTTGTGGTAAACAGTATTTGATTACGTTTTCTTGCCCAGGTGAAGGGAGTTGGACTGGATGGCCTTAAGTATTTTCTGTTTGTCTTGGGAGTTCTGTGTGGGAATTGGTTCAATTCTATTGTTGGTGGGGTTCAGAATGTTCTTTTATTGTAGGTGAACTATAAATCCCAGTAACTACAACTCCCAAAATGTCAAGGTCTGTTTTCCCCAAACCCCATCTGTGTTCATATTTGGGCATATGGAGTATTCATGTAGAGTTTGGTCCAGATCCATCATTGTTTGAGTCCACAGTGGTCTCTGGATGTAGTGAACTACAACTCCAAAACCAAAGGACACGGCCCACCTAACCCAGTATTTTCTGTTGGTCATGGGAGTCTTGTGTGCCATGTTTAGTTCAATTCCATCATTGGTGGAGTTCAGAATGTTCTTTGATTGTTGGTGAACTATAAATCCCAGCAACTACAACTCCCAAATGACAAAATAAATTTTTTGGAGTGATGGTCACTCCTTGCGTTAGTAGGTGTCTTGTGGCCAAATTTGGAGGCAATTCATCCAGTGGTTTTTGAGTTATGTTAATCCCACAAACGAACATTACATTTTATTTATGTAGATTGTACGTAATGTGTTGTATGTTGTTGGCATCGAATTGCTGCTGGGTAAGCCACCCTGAGTCCCCTTTTGGGGGTTGAGAAGGATGGGGTAGGAATGTTGGAAATCTATATAAATAAAAATGTAATGTTCATTTATGGGATTAACATGACTCAAAAACCACTGGGCGAATTGACACCAAATTTGGACACAATACACCTAACAGGCCAACGAGTGACCATCACTCATAAAAACACTGTAAAACACAACAGAAGAGACTTAAAAAGCCCAAAAAATAAATAAATACCTTACAACTCATGCACAAAACCACATATATATACATAAACACAAATATATACACACATGTATATACACACAAAACACACATACACAGACTGGGCTACAGCAATGCGTGGCAGGGGGTGGCTAGTAAGTAAATAAACATTGGATCTATGTGTTGTCGAAAACTTTCACTGGATTGCTGTGAGTTTTCCAGGCTGTATGGCCATGTTCCAGAAGCTTTCTCTCCTGACATTTCACCCACATCTATGGCAGGCATCCTCAGAAGATGTCTGCCATAGATGTGGGCGAAACCTCAGGAGAGAATGCTTCTGGAACATGGCCATACATCCTGGAAAACTCACAGCAACCCAACATTGGTTCTGTTTTCTGGCTTGGAGTGCATCTTCACAGTAGAATCAGTATAGTTTGGTACCACTTTAACTGCCATGGCGCCATAGGCTTTATCGTTTGGTGAGGCATCCATACTCTCTGGCAGAGAAAGCTAAAGACTTTGCAATATTACAACTTCAATTATTCCACATTGTTGAGACATGGTTAAAATGGTGGCAAACTGCAAATATGCCACAGTGTAAAATGCGTACTTGTTCTGGCATTCGGTGCTCAAAAAAACATGACTTTGTTCCAGGTGATCTTTGAAGAGGTCGCTGTGTATTTCACGGAGGAGGAGTGGGCCCTGCTGGACTCGGGTCAAAGGGCTCTTCATTGGGAAGTGATGGAGGAGAATTTGGGCAACCTGTCCTCTCTTGGTAAGACTCTTGCTCTCTGATACTTGATTCTTTCTCATAATCGCAAGTGCTGAAAAATAAACAGACTGAGTCCTTGGTCTGTCCGACTTCACCCAAGCAAAATGGGAATCATCTTCTGCTCTGGCTAATTTATAGAGTTATTCCTCTCCAAGCCAAGCACCTACTTTGCATGAACAATTACTGTGTCTCCTTTCACCCCGCATTAAAAATAAAAGCAGGGATTAAGGAAAAACCTATTAAATATCAAATTATGTTATGATTTTACAAATTAAGCACCAAAACATCATGTTTTGCAACAAATTGATAGAAAAAGCAGTTCAATACATGGTAATGTTGTGTAGTAATTACTATATTTACTAATTTAGCACCAAAACATCGCAATGTATTGAAACACCTACAGATCTGGGCGAGAGGCAGACTGCATTGGATAATGCAGAACATTGGATGAGTGAAGGTTGGATAAGTGAGACTTTACGGTATTATGTTGGAAACCGCTTTGAGTCTCCTCAGTGGTATATAAATTCAGTAAGTATATAAACAATTTATATAAATAAAAATTACTGCAGATGCAGACTGTGGCCAGGAAATCAGAAGACGCTTCCTTCTTGGGAGGAGAGCAATGTCCAGTCTCGATAAAATAGTAAAGAGTAGAGACATCAGACTGGCAACAAAGATCCGCCTAGTCAAAGCCATGGTATTCCCTGTAGTAACCTACGGATGTGAGAGCTGGACCTTAGGGAAGGCTGAGCGAAGGAAGATCGATGCTTTTGAGCTGTGGTGTTGGAGGAAAGTCCTGAGAGTGCCTTGGACTGCGAGAAGATCCAACCAGTCCATCCTCCAGGAAATAAAGCCCGACTGCTCACTGGAGGGAAGGATACTAGAGACAAAGTTGAAGTACTTTGGCCACATCATGAGGAGACAGCAAAGCCTAGAGAAGACAATGATGCTGGGGAAAGTGGAAGGCAAAAGGAAGAGGGGCCGACCAAGGGCAAGATGGATGGATGGCATCCTTGAAGTGACTGGACTGACCTTGAAGGAGCTGGGGGTGGTGACGGCCGACAGGGAGCTCTGGCGTGGGCTGGTCCATGAGGTCACGAAGAGTCGGAGACGACTGAACGAATGAACAACAACATAAATAAAAATGGAATGTTCGTTTGTGGGATTAACATAACTCAAAAACCACTGGACGAATTGACACCAAATTTGGACACAAGACACCTATCAGGCCAACGAGTGACCATCACTCATAAAAACACTGGAAAACACAGCAGAAGAGACTTAAAAGCCAAAAAATAAAAAATACATTACAACGCATGCACCAAACCACACACATATATATATGCAATCACAAATATATACACATATACACAAATATATACACACAAAACAGATATACCCAGACTGGGCCACAGCAACACGTGGCAGGGGACAAATAGTAAATAATAAGAAATAGTAATTAGTTATTATGATCTCTTTGTTTTACTGTATGTTGGTGTAAAGACTTGGGGCACTTATGACTGATTTGAGAAAGGTAGAATAATCTTCAGGCCTTTGCCACCAATTAATGTAACACGCTGGCACCAATTAATAATATTCTGAGGAGTTTTTACAATGGAATCAGGCTACCACCAAAGTCAAAGGCGGTTTTTAGTTTTTCTTGTTTGACCAATGTATTAAAAGAAAGCTGGATGGTGCTGAATTCAAACACAGGGCACATGACACTGAGGTGGTTAATACTGAGATCCTTTTAAGTAGTTGCTGCCACCAATCTGGAAACTCTGTTTCCCTATTTTGTTAAGAATACTTCATACAGAGGCACACTGAGACAGTTGTTTGTTAACAAAGAACAATGATGTTTATTTGTGTGGTTTTCAAAAACACAGGCACTTACGCGTAATGGTTGCAAGAATGAAACGAAGCTTATTTGGTTACTTTAAAACAGTTCAGTATTTGGTTTCCAATAACAACTCTTAACTCCCTCAGGAAAGTAGCAGACTTCTTCCTGACTAGAATCCTTTTACTTCAAACAGTCCTTTCCCTGGGATCTGTTTATAATCACTATACCAGCTATTCTTCCCTAATAGCTCTCTGAACTCTCTAACTAACTTCTTTGGCTTCACTAACTTCCACACTCCTTCTCCCAACTCTCTCTCCTAACTGTCTTCTTCAAACACCAGAACCTAACTATCTGTCAGATTTCAAAAAGCTCTGTTCAAGGCTCTTTTTTTTTTCTGCACTTCACCCAAGCTCCACCCACTTTCTCCCAGCCAATCACAAGGGTTCTCCACATTTTCCCCCAGTCTGCTTCTAAGCTCCGCATCCACTAGGAAATGACTAACCTAAGATGGCTGCCTCCAGGCACCATTACACAAAATGGATGCCAAAAAAACTGGGGCCTAATTCCTGAGCTTTTCTGGTCTACAGGTAGGCAATTCATCACAGTTGGCATGGAATCTTTGCCATTAATATGTTGTAAACTGCCTTGAGTCCCCCCAGGGTGAGGAAGGTGGTATATAAATACAGTAAATAAATAAATAATAAATCACATTATTGTTTCAAGAGTTGAGCGAGGGCTCACCAAATGTGGCCTTTTAAGACATCCAGTGGAGAGGCCCTGAAATCCCTTTTATGTTTTCAGTTGCATCGTCAGAAAGCTGCCGATTATGTCAACTATGCTTTACTTCTTTATGTTTTGACCATTTTAATTTGTTTACTTTCAAGATGAAGACGAGCAAGATAGCGAGAATGAAGAAGAATGCCCAGGGCTCTTTCTTCAATCAGCTAATTGTGAGGTGGAGAAAGGCGATGGGATGAAAACAACCGCTCAGGAAAATGTGTTTGCTCTTCAAGATGATGATGATTATGATGACGACAGCCGGATCTCATACCAAGAAATAACCCAGAAAGGGAAAGAGATCAGCATCTGCCTTATATGTTGGAAAACTTTCAGGAGTAAAGCCAGTCTTTACCTTCATATGAGAACTCACACGCGGGAGCAGCCTTTTGAAGACGACGAGTGCAGGAAGACCTGCAGTCTCATGTTGCGGGAAAGGACTCACGCGGGAGAGAAGCCGTTTAAGTGCCTGGGCTGCGGAAAGAGCTTCAGCTGGCGGTCGCACCTTCTGATGCACCTCGCCACCCACACTGGGGACAAACCGTTCCAGTGTTTGGTGTGCGACAAAAGTTTCAGCCGGAAAGAAACCCTCCTTCGCCATCAGGCCACGCACTCCGGGGAGAAACCCTTTAAATGCTTGGAATGTGGGAAAAGCTTCAGTCGGAAGATCAACCTCACTCGCCACGGTGCAATGCACATGGGGGAGAAGCCCTTCAAATGCCTGGAGTGCGGGAAATGTTTCAGGTGGATAATAAGCCTGGCGAGTCATCAGTCCACGCACGGAGGGGAGAAACCGCATACGTGCCCTGAGTGTGGAAAGGGCTTTAGTGGAAAGAAGCAGCTCACCCGGCATCGGGCAATTCACGCTGGGACGAAACCCTTTCAGTGCGACAAGTGTGGAAAAGGCTTCACTCAGAAGACGGACCTCACGTATCATCAAGCGATCCACACGGGCGAGAAGCCCTACAAATGCTTGGAGTGCGGGAAGAGTTTCACGTGGAAGAAAGGCCTGACTTACCACCAGCCCACACACACGGGGGAGAAGCCGTTCCAGTGCTTGGAGTGCGGGAAGAGCTTCAGCCGGAAGACGGGCCTGACTTACCATCAGGTGACTCACACGGGGGACAAACCGTTCCAATGCCAGGAGTGCGGCAAAAGTTTCAGCTACAAAATCAGCCTCACTCGGCATCACGCGACTCATGTGGGTGAGAAGCCCTTCAAATGCTTGGAGTGTGGGAAGGGTTTTAGCCGGAAGACGGGCCTCAATTATCATCAAGTGATTCACACAGGGGAGAAATTGTTCAAATGCCTGGAGTGCGGGAAGAGCTTCAGCCGGAAGAGAGGCCTCATTTCTCACCAAGCAACCCACACAGAAGAAGGCCTTTGAATTTTGTGAGTGTACACATCGTTCCAATCAGAACACAAGGGTGAAACAGTTACAATAATATATTGTCGAATGCTTTCATGGCTGGAATCACTGGGTTGCTGTAGGTTTTTTCGGGCTATATGGCCATGTTCTAGAGAATTGTTTCTCAACCTGGGGGTCGGGACCCCTGTGAGGGTTGTGAGGGGGTGCAAAAGGGTCACCAAAGACCATCAGAAAACATAGTATTTTCTGTTGGTCATGGGAGTTCTGTGTGGGAAGTTTGGTCCAATTCTATCGTTGGTGGGGTTCAGAATGTTATTTCATTGTGGGTGAACTATAAATCCCTCTCAAATGTTAAGGTCTATTTTCCTCAAACTCCTTAAGTGTTCACATTTTGGCATATTGAGTATTTGTACCACGTTTGATCCAGATCTATCATTGTTTGAGTCCACAGTGCTCTCTGGATGTAGGTGAACTACAACTCCAAAAATTTAGGTCAATATCCACCAGATCCTCCCAGTATTTTCTGTCAGTCATGGGAGTTCTGTGTGCCAAGTTGGTTCAATTTCATCATTGGTGGTGTTCAGAATGCTCTTTGATTGTAGGTGAACTATAAATCCCAGCAACTACAGCTCCCAAATGACAAAATCAATCCCCTCCCCATCCCACTAGTATTCAAATTTGGGCATATTGGGTATTTGGGATTTGAAAATACATCCTGCATATAATATATTTACATTACAATTCATAATGTCAGCCCTTAAAATGTGGGAAATGCCTCAGTCATTGCTCACTTTATAGAAATGTAATCTTAGGAGAAACCAGGGCAACTGTATTGAAGAAAAGCAGGCAAATGCGGTAATCCTGAAATGCTTGGAATGGGGAGTTTCTATAATAGGAAATTGTCCCTTATCAGGTATGAAGGAGAGGCTTAAACTGTCTGTTTAGCCTGCAGAAGAGAAGGATGAGAGGGGACATGAGAGCTATGTTTAAATATGTGAAAGGATGTCATAAGGAAGAGGGAGCAGGCTTGATTTCTGTGGCTCTGGAGACTAGGACGCAGTGGAACAATGGCTTCAAACTACAGGAAAGGAGATTCCATCTGAACATAAGGAAGAACCTCCTGACTGTGAGAGCTGTTCAGCAGTGGAACTCTCTGAACCAGAGTGTAGTGGAGGCTCTTTCTTTGGAGGCTTTTAAGCAGAGGCTGGATGGTCATCTGTCAGGGGTGCTTTGTGCTTTTTCTGCATGGCAGAAGTGGGTTGGGCTGGATGGAACTTGGGGATAATTCCAACTGTATGATTCTGTGCTTCTATAATCTAGACATTCACACTAAGGTCTTGATGTGTGCCTTCAAGTTGTTTCTGATTTACGGTAATCCCAAAGTGAACCTATCACAGGGTTTTCCTGGCTAAATTGGTCCCGAAGTTGTTTATGCTTTGATTTTATTGCTGTAATATGTTGTCCGGGCTTGGCCTCATGTAAGCCGCTCCAAGTCCCCATGGGATATAAATAAAGATTATTATTATTATTATTATTATTATTATTATTATTATTATTATTATTTGCCTTGGCTTTCCTCTAAGGCTGAGAGAGTGCGACTTGTCCAAGATCACTCAGTGGGTTGCCATGGCCAAATGGGAGTTTCAAACCCTCTGTTGTAGGGTTTGGTGCAGGCTCCTTCTTTGGAGGCTTTTAAGCAGAGGCTGGATGGCCATCTATCGGGAGTGCTTTGAATGCAATTATCCTGCTTCTTGGCAGAATGGGGTTGGACTGGATGGCCCATGAGGTCTCTTCCAACTCTGGGATTCAACTCAAACCACTACAACCCACTATGAGAAAAATATAGAGGTGGGGAAACCATTTAAATGCTTGGCATATGGAAATACCTACAGTATGAAACTCTTCCTTATTTGGCATTGAAGAATCCAAACAGAGAGAAGGTTTGGTCAGACAGGAATCCTTGTGTAGAATCATAGAGTTGGAAGAGACCTCCTGGGCCATTCAGTTCAACCCCCTGAAAAGATGCAGGAAAATTGCATTCAAAGCACTCCCAACAGATGGCCACCCAACCTCTTTTTAAAAGCCTCCAAAGAAGGAGCCTCCACCACACTCCGGGGCAGAGAGTTCCACTGCTGAACGGTTCTCACAGGAAGTTCTTCCTCATGTTCAGGTGGAATCTCCTTTCCTGTAGTTTGAAGCCATTGTTCCATTGTGTCCTAGACTGCAGGGCAGCAGAAAACAAATTTGCTCTCTCCTCCCTGTGACTTCTTTATACATGGCTATCATGTCTCCTCTCAGCCTTCTCTTCTTCAGGCTAAACATGCCCAGCTCTTTAAGCCGCTTCTCATAGGGCTTGTTCTCCAGACTTTTGATCATTTGAGTCGCCCTCCTCTGGACACATTCCAGCTTGTCAACATCTCTCTTCAATGGTGGTGTCACACTAAAGATTTTATCATTTATCCTCTGCTAGAGAAAATGTTTTGAAAGCAGTTTACAAATGGTATCTTTCAACATTACAACTGGAGCCCCCAGTGGTGCAATGAGTTAAACCCTTGTGCCGGCAGGACTGCGAACCGAAAGGTTGGCAGTTCAAATCTGGGGAGTGGGGTGAGCTCCCGTGGGTCAGCTCCAGCTTCTTATACGGGGACAGGAGAGAATCCTCCCACAGGATGGTAAGACATCTGGGCGTCCCCTGGGCAACGTCCTTGCAAACAGCCAATTTTCTCACACCAGAAGCAACTTGCAGTTTCTCAAAAAAAAAAATCACAACTTTGATGCATTTTTAACAGGCTATGTCATCATTGTGCTGGACAGGCTGGTCAAGGAGTAATGTATTGTGTATGTGGACTAGATGTCCCAAAATATATCCCTTTTGGCCATTGGAACCTGACATAACCAATCAAACAGTAGCACATTGTGAGGCACTTACGTTAGGTCAATTTATCAAGGTCCCTGTAGTCCTCTGTAAGATGAACAGCTGTTTTTTTTTATTTTGCAAGGTGCTACAAAACGGGAGAATCATAGAATCAAAGAGTTGGAAGAGACCTCATGGGCCATCCAGTCCAACCCCCTGCCAAGAAGCAGGAATATTGCATTCAAATCACCCCTGAGAGATGGCCATCCAGCCTCTGTTTCAAAGCTTCCAATGAAGGGGCCTCCACCATGCTTCTGAAAGGATTGTCTTTCAGGAATTGGCTGAACAGATTATGGGGAATTGCCCTTTTTCGAAATAGCACAGTGGGTTAAACCGCTGAACTGCTAAGCTTGTTGACCAAAAGGTCGCAGGTTCAAATCTGGGGAGCGGCGTGAGCTTCTGCTATTAGCCCCAGCTTCTGACAACCTAGCAGTTCGAAAACATGCAAATATGAGTAGATCAATAGGTACCACTCCTGCGGGAATGTAAGGGTACACCATGCAGCCATGCCAGCCACATGACCTTGGAGGTGTCTACGGACAACGCCAGCTCTTCAGCTTAGAAATGGAGATGAGCACCAACTCCCAGAGTCGGACACGACCGGACTTAATATCAGGGGAAAATCTTTACCTTTACATAACACATCAAATGGGATTTTCAATGGAAACAGTCATGGCAGTGCTTTTGAGAAAATTATTCATTCAAACCTAAGTAGTACTCGTGATCCATCAGAAAAAAATTGGAAATCTACTTTTTAAATACGTTCTGTCCATGAAATGGCAACTCTTGACTGGCCATTGTGTTTGCGATCCAACCTCACCATATTATAACTCCTTTGATATCTATTGGATTCGTGTAGTAGTTTACCCATTTAGATGTTTACCCCTTACCAAGATTGTTTTGGTCCCGTACTCTTGTGTTAACAGCTTTTGTAATTTAAACTTGCAGTAAAGACCATTTTTAATATACTATTGTGGATATACTCTTGTGCCTTGCTAACAGATTGTTTATGTTCCTGTTGGGAATCGAGAGCTATTAGGCTCAAAAACAACCGTCATTTGAGGTGATTCCACTTAAAATATAGCGGAGTGCCAGAAGTACAGTTCATAACCAGCAGAAACTTATGTGTGGCAAATCAGGAAGTAAAAAAGAAATCCATTCTAGATAGAAAAGGACTTGGAGCCAACTAGCTTACTAAGCTATCTTCTAAGGAAGGTAAAAGGATAAAATAACAGAAGTATCCATGCAGCTACATTTTGCCTGGAGAATGGCAAAATGTGTCCTCACTGGAAGGAAGACAAAGGCAGAAGAGAATGGGACAAAATGGTGAATGACGACATGGCCAACAAGCCAGGGCAATAAAAATATATTTAAAGAGGAAGTTACATCCCCCACAGATTACATTGCTACATCAAAGAGGGGGGGGGGGGAGATAGTGGCAAGAGAAGAGTAAAAACAGCATCTTGTGGGATAAACATGCATAGGAATGTGGGTGGGGGGGGGGGAATCCCTCACTTTAATCCTATCTAGTCTAGCTACTCATTGGGGACTGGAGACTTGTGTAGTCCATGAATGAAACCCAACAGTTCCATACAGGATATTAAAACAGCTTTATTGGCTGCTGGTAAGTTGCCGAGCCAAATTCAAGGTGCAGGTCATGACCTATAAAGCCCTAAACAGTTTGGGCCCCGCCTATCTCTGCGATCGCATCTCCTTCTATGAACCGGCACGAGCTCTAAGATCTTCCGGGGAGGCCCTCCTCTCGGGTCCCACTACTGTCTCAAGCATGGCTGGTGGGGACGAGAGAGAGGGCCCTCTCAGTGGTGGCCCCCCGCCTCTGGAACACCCTTCCAAGGGAAATAAGACAGGCCCCATCCCTCCCCTCTTTTTGTAAGAGCTTGAAGACCTGGTGGTTTCAACAAGCCTTTGAAAATTACCAGTTCTAACTCAGCCCTACACATTGTTGAATACGGCCTTATTCTTTCTACCAATTATCCAGATAATTTCCTCTAATCGGCCCCGGAATGAACAGCCACAGACCCATACCTAATATTATTGTTGCCTGCCATAGCATTGCACTTAATTCCCGGGCCCCCTGGAATTTTTGGGCTTGCACAAATCTTGGCCCAGCCTTTTAAATTGGCCCAGCCTTGAAATAGGCAGGATTACTTTTAATATATGTGTGTTATGGCGACAATTCTGGTCCATCTAAAACACAAACATGTGCTTTTCACCTTAAGAACAAACAAGCACCCCAAACTCTGAGGATGACCTGGGAAGGAATCCCACGGGAGCATTGCAGCACACCCAAATACCTGGGAGTCGCTCTGGACCATGCTCTGACCTACAAGAAGCACTTCCTGAATATCAAGCAAAAAGTGGGCGCTAGAAACAATATCATATGAAAGTTGACTGGCACAACCTGGGGATCACAACCAGACACAGTGAAGACATCTGCCCTTGCACTATGCTACTCTGCTGCTGAGTATGCATGCCCAGTGTGGAACACATCTCACCACGCTAACACAGTGGATGTAGCTCTTTATGAAACATGCCGCAACATCACGGGGTGTCTGCGCCCTACACCACTGGAGAAATTATATTGTCTAGCGGGTATTGCACCACCTGACATCCGCTGGGAAGTAGCAACCAATAGTGAAAGGACCAAGGCAGTGACATCTTTAGCTCATCCCGTTTGGGTATCAGCCAGGACGCCAACAACTTAAATCAAGAAATAGTTTTCTAAGATCTACAGAGACACTCACTGGGACACCTCAGCAAGCGAGAGTCCAAAAGTGGCAGGCTCAAACCCAGCATCTCAATCTGTGGGTGATACCAAATGAGAGACTCCCCCCTGGGCACACAGAAAACTGGGCGACTTGGAAGGCGCTGAACAGACTGCGCTCTGGCACCATGAGATGCAGAGCCAATCTTAAGAAATGGGGCTACGAAGTGGAATCCACGGCATGCGAGTGTGGAGAAGAGCAAACCACTGACCACCTGCTGCAATGCAACCTGAGCCCTGCCACATGCACAATGGAGGACCTTCTTGCAGCAACACCAGAGGCACTCCGAGTGGCCAGGCACTGGTCAAAGGACATTTAATCAACTACCAAGCTTGCAAACTTTACGTTTTGTTTGTCTGTTTGTTTGTTAAAAAATGCAATACAACTGTCTGGTCTGCCCCTGACACGATAAATAAAAAAATGGCAACAATTTTTATGCTTATCTTTTGTTTTGTTAATCTTATGGTTATGTTGTGTTTACTTTGTATGTTTTGTGATGTTACCTGTGATGTTACCTCTAAGTCACCTCGGGGAGATGGAGTGGTATATAAATAAAGTTGTTGTTGTTGTTGTTATTATTATTATTATTATTATTGATGCATCTAAAATTGTTTCCACAGTCAAATACTCGTAAGGGATCTCCTTTAGGTTTAATTCTTTCCTATTTATTGATTTATTGCTAATATTATTTCTGCTATTTACACATTTGAAGATCGATGCTTTTGAGCTGTGGTGTTGGAGGAAAGTGCTGAGAGTGCCTTGGACTGCAAGAAGATCCAACCAGTCCATCCTCCAGGAAATAAAGCCCGACTGCTCATTGGAGGGAAGGAGACTAGAGACAAAGTTGAAGTACTTTGGCCACATCATGAGGAGACAGGAAAGCCTAGAGAAGACAATTACGCTGGGGAAAGTGGAAGGCAAAAGGAAGAGGGGCCGACCAAGGGCAAGATGGATGGATGGCATCCTTGAAGTGACTGGACTGACCTTGAAGGAGCTGGGGGTGGTGACGGCCAACAGGGAGCTCTGGCGTGGACTGCTCCATGAGGTCACGAAGAGTCGGAGACGACTGAACGAATGAACAACAACAACAACACACATTTGTATGGACCGGATTAATTTGTTGAGTGTGCATAAAAACTCTCCATTGTAAGTAAGGCTAATCCCACAGAGTGAGCACTTCTATGGCTTCTCTCCTTCTTGGGAAGTCTTTTCTTGCTCCCAGACACTTCCTTCATCCTCGGTGAATCCTCTTGTGCTTCATGAGGCTGGACTGAATCAAGTAACTCTTGCTGCAGTCGGAGCACTTGTGCGGCTTCTCTCTCGTGTGAATGATCTGATGGGAAAGAAGGCTGGCCTTGTAGCCGAAGCTTTTCCTGCAGAACGGACACTGGTACGGCTTCTCTCCCGTGTAAATCTTCTGGTTTGAAGCCAAGCTTGTGTTGGGAACGAAACTCTTGCCAGACTCCAAGTGTTTCCCCGGAGTCTCTTTTGTGTGAATCCTGTGATGCATTATCAGGCGCACCTTCTGCTGATAGCTCTTCTTGCACACAGCGCATTGATATGGCTTCTTCTCTGTGTGTCTCCCTTGGTGCTTAGTAGACTGATCACAGGAGCCCTTTTCATATTCGGAGTAGCTGCACCGTTTCCCTTCCTGGTGGATTCTTTGGTGTGAAGCAAGGCTTTCGATGCGGTTGAAGCCTTTCCTGCACACAAAGCACACGTACAACTTCTCCACTGCGTCCGCCTTATGTTCCTTTTCCACTGGGTTTTCAAGGAGACCAGGAAAGCATCCCTCCCTTCTTTCCTTTGCATGTTCTCCTTCCACCATTCTTGAGGCATTCACACTCTCTTTTGTGGCTTCGACATCTGTTTTCGCTGATAATATTATGCACGGTTCCCACTCCTGCTTCAGCCAATCAACGCCTGGAAAAGAGAGAAAAAAAGAAAATAATACAATATTATTTATTTATTTACAGTATTTATATTCCACCCTTCTCACCCCGCAGGGGACTCAGGGCGGATTACAATGTATATATACATGGCAAACATTCAATACCATAGACACACAACATATATAGGCAGACACACAGAGGCTATTTAACATTCCAGCTTTTCATGAGGGTATTCTGGCCACCAGGGGAGCTGTCGCTTCACCATCCATTTGTGACACTGATGGAGTACTTCCTCATTCTTTGCATGCTTGCTGGAGATTTTTATGGCATCATAAATTAGTTAAATTAGCCTCCCTGCATAAGCGGTACCTAAATTTCCTACTTGACATTTATTTATTTATTTATTTATTTATTTACAGTTTTTATATTCCGCCCTTCTCACCCCGCAGGGGACTCAGGGCGGATTACAGTATACACATATATGGCAAACATTCAATGCCAGTTTGACAAACAACATATACAGACAATACACAGAGGCTATTTAACTTTTTTTCTGGCCGCCAGGGGAGCTGCTGCTTTCATCATCCACCACCGACACCGATGAAGTTCTTCCGCATTCCACATTCCCCGGAGTCTTTTCTTTATGGCCTCATAAATTAGTTAATTTAGCCTCCCACACAAGGTGGTACCTTATTTTCCTACTTGACAGATGCAACTGTCTTTCGGGTTGCAAAGGTCGACAACAGGCTACACAATGGCTGGACACCCACTCCAACCCGGGCTGGCTTCGAACTCATGACCTTTTGGTCAGAGTGATCTTAATGCAGCTGACACTCAGCCAGCTGTGCCACAATATTTATGATATTTCTAATAATAATAATAATTTTTAAAAACTTTATTTATACCCCGCTACCATCTCCCCAAGGGACTCGGTGCGGCTTACATGAGGCCGAGCCCAAAGTACATCAACAGTAAAAGCAATAAGAAAACAATCAATACAACAGTTAAAATAAATCTCATAAACAAAAGTAAATAATAAACAGTAACAATAACAACAAGCATTTAAAACCTATGGCTGGGCCAAATGTAATAATTTTAGAAAAATTAAAAATTAATTTTAAAAAAACTTTAATTTTTTTAAAAAAAAGTTAAATAGCCTCTGCCTGTCTGTCTATATCTGTTGTGTATCTTTGGCATTGAATGCTTGCCATATATGTGTACATTGTAATCCTCCCTGAGTCCCCTGCGGGGTGAGATGCCGCCCTTCTCACCCCGAAGGGGACTCAGAGCGGCTTACAAAGTGTGTGTGTGTGTATATATATATATATATATATATATATATATATATATATATATACACACACATACATACATACATACAATATATTATATTATTAGCACAGTACAATATCAATATTATATATTACTATACTGCACTATACCATTATATTGTAATTTTATTAGTAATACAACATGTAATATAAATATATAATTATAATATTGTATTATTATTACTAGTACTATATTGTGTTACATTATAATATTACAAATATTATACACAATATATTATATTATTAGTAAAGACATTTTGGCCTCATTCCTGCCATTTTGCCTCCTGAGGAAAACTGAGGAAAACTACTTGACAGACGCAACTGTCTTTCGGGCTGCAAAGGTCGACAGCAAGCTACACAAATTGGTCGGAAGCTCACTCCGACCCGGGCTGGCTTCAAACTCATGACATTTTGGTCAGTAGTGATCTTAATGCAGCAGACTCCCAGACAGCTGTGCCACAGTGCAAATAATACAAATAAAAATACAAATAAAGTTTCAAGTACAGGACCTCCAAGAATTTTTAAAGGACTATTTTTTTAATGAGAGAACACCTTCTAGGCATCTTTTAAGTCACATATGTGGCATAATGTAAAATAAATCATGTGTAGTTCACATTTGATCAGTCCACACACTGCCTTGCCAGAGAAAGAAAATATGCTATGCAGTAAAGAACAAGTAGTTGTAGTCCAGCATCATACAATGACATGGCAGGCCAGATTCAGCCCATGATCCTTGATTTTGGCAGGTTCTCATCTCCCATGCACTTCCCATAACTGCTACAAGCATTTTACTTCTGGCCATCTTCAATTCACATTTCACAGTGGTTTCAACCTTACCATTTTCGGTGCCCAAAACAAGGGATGAGTTTTTCTCCTTGAAAGATGCAGTAACATTCTCCTCCACCTTCCAGGCTGATGACTCGTAGGATCCCACAACACTAGAGATTTTGGGCATACATTTCTCGTTGTCATCTGGGGTCCCCCACTCCTTTTTTGTTGGATTCAAAGGAGAAGCAGAGGGAGCAGAGTCTTCTGGAAAATGGAAAAGAGGGGGGGAATCAGTACTGTCATTATGAACTTTTGTTGTTGTTCATTCGTTCAGTCGTCTCCGACTCTTCGTGACCTCATGGACCAGCCCACGCCAGAGCTCCCTGTCGGCCGTCACCACCCCCAGCTCCTTCAAGGTCAGTCCAGTCACTTCGAGGACGCCATCCATCCATCTTGCCCTTGGTCGGCCCCTCTTCCTTTGACCTTCCACTTTCCCCAGCATCATTGTCTTCTCTAGGCTTTGCTGTCTCCTCGCTGAACTTTACTTATACCAAAATCAGGACTCAAGGCTGCTTGCCATTTAAAACAAGGGGAATATAGTTTGGGTTGTTGTAGGTTTTTCAGGCTGTATGGCCATGTTCTAGAAGTATTCTCTCTTATGTTTTGCCTGCATCTATGGCAGGTATCCTCAGAGGGAGCAAGCTTGTTTTCTTCTGTCCTGCAGAAAAGGACACAGTGGAGGAATAGCTTCAAACTACAAGAAAGGAGATTCCACCTGAACATGAGGAAGAGCTTCCTGACTGGGAGAGCTGTTCAGCCGTGGAACTCCCTGCCCTGGAGTGTGGTAGAGGCTCCTTCTTTGGAAGCTTTTAAACAGAGGCTGGATGGCCATCTGTTGAGAGTGCTTTGAATGTGATTTTCCTGCTTCTTGGCGGAATGGGGTTGGACTGGATGGCCCACGAGGGTCTCTTCCAACTCTAGGATTCTAAGATTTTATATATATATAATTATACACACACACACACATATACACACACATATACACACACACATACAAACACACCATATATACACACATTTATTTATTTATTTATTTATTTATTTACAGTATTTATATACTGCTTTTCTCACCCCTAGGGGGACTCAAAGCGTATACACACACACATATATATACACTCACACATACATATATACACACATACACACACATGCATATATTCATATATACACACACACAAACATATACAGACATATATACACACATACATACGCACACATATATACACACGTACATATACACACATACACACATAAGCACACATATATACACACAGACATATTTACACACACATACACACACATATATACACACAAACATACACACACACACATATATATATACACACAAACATATACACACATACACACACACATAGACACACACACACATACATTACACACACACATACACACACACACAGGGGTACACACACACACCCCATAGTGGCCGATGCTCTTTAGTTTTTACCCAGTTTTGGTCCCCAGAAATTACTGAACGATGACTCCCATCACTTTTGATTATGTGGACTGGGGATAATGGGAATTGCAACCCAACAACCCTTGTGGGTCTGAGGTTGGGGAAAAGTTAAAGGGCATTTTAAAGCCAGGCATCATACCCACAAGCCTTGTATCTAAATCCAAAGCCCACCCTCCTGACTAAACAGAGGAAACGGCAGCCCCCCAGATGTTGCTGTATCTCAACTCCCTCCAGCACTAGTCATGTGGCATCTCTCCTCTTACCAAACATACTGGTCAGTTCATCCTCCTTTTCCTTCTTTATGCTGATGGGCAGCTGCCCCTGTTCATCCGACACAAGCTGGTCTGACTCTGAGCACCTTGCAGCCTCCAATACTTCCTGCGGCACCTGGAACAACAGAAAAGAATGGGATTTTCAGCTATTGTCCAGGCTGCAGATGCTCCGTTCTGCTCCAGGCAAGAAGAAAGGGCTATGGACAAACCTCTAACAGAGCAGCAGCTTGCTGAAATGTTGCAAGGTTCAATCACTTCAATTTACAAAGCTCTTCCAGGAGTCTATGAATTCACCTGGTTTTCTTTCTCCTTCCCTCCCAGTCCTAATTGTGCCAGGGCTCACCCTCCACTCTGCTCTGCCTCCATCTTTTGGCTAGGAGCAAGGAAGCTAGTTTAAATGTCCCCTCACCCTATTGACATGAAAAAGGTTTGAGAAATCAGAATATGAGTAAGATACCAATGAAGTTAGAGGACAGAAACAGAGACTTTCCCTCTTTCCTCCCTCCTTCCCTCTCTTCCTCTTTCCCCTCCCTCCCTCTCTTCCATTCTTCCTTCTCTCTTGTCTTCTTCCTTCTCTCCATCTTTCCCCTTCCACCCCTTTATCCTTCCTTCCTTTCCTCCTCTCTCCTTCTTCTTCTCCTTCTTCTTCCTTCCCTTCCTTCTATCCTTCCCTTCCACCCTTTCTTTCCTTCCTTTATCCTTCTTCCTCCTTCCCTCCCTCTTCTTTTCTCTTCCATCCTTTCCTACCACCCTTTCGTCCTTCCTTCCTTCCTCCTTTCCTCCCTCACCCTCTTTCTCCTTCCTTCCATCCTTTATATCTTCCCTTCTTTCTCTTTCCTTTATCCCTTCCTTCCATCCTTTTCTTCCTCCCCTTCTTCCTTCCTTCTCTTTTTCCTTCCTCCTTCCCTTCTTCCCTTCCATCTTTTCCTTCCACCCTTTCATCCTTCCCTTTGTCCTTCCTTCCCTCTTTCCTCCCTCCTTCACTCTCTTCTTCTTTCCCTCCCTCTCTTCCTTCTTTCCTTCCTTCTCCTTCTTTCCCTCCCTCTTCCCTCTCTTCCCTTCCACCCTTTCGTCCTTCCTTCCTCTTTCCTCTCTCCCTCTTTCTCCTTCCTTCCTTCCTTCCTTCCTTCTCTTCTTTCTTTCCTTCCTTCTCTTTCCCTCCTCCTTACCTCCCTCCCTTCCTCCCTCTTTCTCCTTCCATCCTTCCCCTCCACACTTCCTTCCTTCCCTCTCTCCCTCTTTCATCCTTCCTTCCTTCCCTTTTGTCTTTCCTTCCTTCTCTCTTTCCTTTATTCTTCCTTCCTTTCCTTCCTTCCATCCATCCTTCTCTTTCTGGACCCCACCAATGATATAATTGGGCCAAACTTCCCACACAGAACTCCCATGACCAACAGAAAATATTGGTTTTCTGATGGTCTTTGGGGACCCTTCTGACACCCCCTCACGACCCCCCTCCAGGGGTCCCGACCCACAGGTTGAGAAACACTATTTCATATGTGCCCCCCCCCCATTGCATCTTTTGTATTCCTCATCATTAGAGATCATAACTAGAGCTGATGGGAATTGTGATACAGTACTATCTGGAAGGCTTTGTTTTGTTTTGTTTAGTCAGGAGAGTGGGCCTGAATTTAGATACAAGGCTAATGGATATGCTGCCTGGCTTTAAAATGTCCTTTAACCTTTCCACAAGTGCTACTGGGCTGCAGTTCCCATCATCCCCAGTCTGCATGGTAGATAGGATGACCAAAAGCGATGGGAGTTGTGATTCAATAACATTTGGGGATCCAAGTCAGATAAAAATGAAAGAGGACCAACCGCTACGTAAAAAAAGATTATAGTTGGCCCTCTGTGTCCATGGATTCTGTCTATCACAGGCATGGGCCAACTTTGGCCCTCCCTCCAGGTGTTTTGGACTTCAACTCCCACAATTCCTAACAGCCGGTAGGCTGTTAGGAATTGTGGGAGTTGAAGTCCAAAACACCTGGAGGGAGGGCCAAAGTTGGCCCATGCCTGGTGTATAAATTCAATAGCTCTTAGAAGGCAACCATAAAGTTGATGTGGCCTCCAATGAAGTTGAGTCTGAGGTGGCTTAAACTCATAGTTGTCTTCTTCTAATTCTTCTAATCCAAGCAATACAGGCAGTCTCACCTGTTCTTCTTCCCTTTCAGCCTTTCGCTGCCGCAAAAGAAAATCCTCGGCCAGGTCCACCGCCTGGGAGCCGGTCTCCGGGTAATGCCCCATGACCCAGTCGTGGACCTCTGTGGGCAAGAGGGCCAGGAACTGTTCCAGAACCACCATCTCCAGCATCTCCTCCTTGGAACGTCTCTCCACCTTCAGCCACCGGCGGCAAAGTTCCTGAAGTTGTCTGTAACCTTCTTTCAGCCCTTCGGCCTCCAAGCATCTAAACCCCCTGAAGCGTTGACGGTCCTTCTCTCGGATGATGGCATCTCCTCTCAAGAGGGCCGCCTTGACCTTCTCATAGTCCTCTCTGTTTTCATCGTCCAGGTTGAGAAAGGCCTCCTTGGCTTCTCCGTTGAGGGCCGGCAGGAGTCGGGTCGTCCACTCTTCCTTCGGCCAATGGCATGCTTCGGCCACGCGCTCAAAGGAGGCCAGGAAGTCCCTGGTGTCCTCTAATGGCGTGGTCTCCTTGGACAATGGTGGGGATGTCCATTGTGAGTGAGAGCACTCCATTGTCCTCAGGAACTTCTGGGATTCCCAGAGCTGGGCTGTACATTCGTCTTGCTGCACTGGAGGAAGAAGGACCCTGGAGAGAGACATTCCCGTCGCCCCAGAATACATCACTTCCGGAGATTCATTTCTTTCATTATGATCTACGTTGGAGTTGAAACCTAGGCCATGTTTTCCTGTGCTTTCCAGCACCTTGCTTTGTATACTGCTTCTAGGCTCTTCTGGATCCATTTTCACTCTTTCCTTCTCCCCAAAGTCTGGATGTTTTTGGAAGTGTTGACCATGACCTGGAGCAAAAAGAGGGAGCAAGTTTTGATACTGAAAAAGAAGATGAGAAAGAAACCCACAAAAAGAGAGTCGATATAAGCTGTCAATTGGTCGTTTCTTTGCTTTGACATGCGAGCCAAGATTTGAGTTATGAGCAAGCGCAAGAGCACATCGCCCATTATTATTTATTTATTTATTTACCGTATTTGTATACTACTTTTTCTCATGAATACTCAATATGCCCAAATGTGGAGTTTGAGGAAAATAAATCTTGACATTTGGGAGTTGTAGTTGCTGGGATTTATAGTTCACCTACAATCAAAGAGCATTCCGAACTCCACCAAAGATGGAATTGAACCAAACTTGGCACACAGAACTCCCATGACTAACAGAAAATATTGGAAGGGTTTGGTGGATATTGACCTTGAGTTTTGGAGTTGTAGTTCACCTACATCCAGAGAGTACTGTGGACACAAACAATGATGGATCTGGACCAAACTTGGCATGAATATTCTATATACCCAAAAGTCAACACTGGTGGACTTTAGGGAAAATAAACCTTGACATTTGGGAGTTGTAGTTGCTGGGATTTATAGTTCACCTACAACCAAAGCACATTCTGAATTCCACCAACAATAGAATTGAACCAAACTTGGCACACAGAACTCCCATGATGGACAGAAAATACTGGAAGGGTTTGGTGGGCATTGACCTTGAGTTTGGGAGGTGTAGTTCACCTACATCCAGAGAGCACTGTGGACTCAAATAATGATGGACCTGGACCTAAACTTGGCATGAATACCCAATATGCCTAAATGTGGACACTGGTGGAGTTTAGGGGAAATAGAGCTTGACATTTGGGAGTTGTAGTTTCTGGGATTTATAGTTCACCTACAGTCAAAAATCATTCTGAACTCCGCCAGTGATGGAATTGAACCAAACTTGGCACACAGAACTCCCATGACTAACAGAAAATATTGAAAGGGTATGGTGGGCGTTGACCTTGCGTTTTGGAGTTGTAGTTCACCTACATCCAGAGAGCACTGTGGGCTCAAACAATGATGGATCTGGACCAAACTTGGCATGAATATTCTATATACCCAAAAGTCAACACTGGTGGACTTTAGGGAAAATAAACCTTGACATTTGGGAGTTGTAGTTGCTGGGATTTATAGTTCACCTACAACCAAAGCACATTCTGAATTCCACCAACAATAGAATTGAACCAAACTTGGCACACAGAACTCCCATGATGGACAGAAAATACTGGAAGGGTTTGGTGGGCATTGACCTTGAGTTTGGGAGGTGTAGTTCACCTACATCCAGAGAGCACTGTGGACTCAAATAATGATGGACCTGGACCTAAACTTGGCATGAATACCCAATATGCCTAAATGTGGACACTGGTGGAGTTTAGGGGAAATAGAGCTTGACATTTGGGAGTTGTAGTTTCTGGGATTTATAGTTCACCTACAGTCAAAAATCATTCTGAACTCTGCCAGTGATGGAATTGAACCAAACTTGGCACACAGAACTCCCATGACTAACAGAAAATATTGAAAGGGTATGGTGGGCGTTGACCTTGCGTTTTGGAGTTGTAGTTCACCTACATCCAGAGAGCACTGTGGGCTCAAACAATGATGGATCTGGACCAAACTTGGCATGAATATTCTATATACCCAAAAGTCAACACTGGTGGACTTTAGGGAAAATAAACCTTGACATTTGGGAGTTGTAGTTGCTGGGATTTATAGTTCACCTACAACCAAAGCACATTCTGAATTCCACCAACAATAGAATTGAACCAAACTTGGCACACAGAACTCCCATGATGGACAGAAAATACTGGAAGGGTTTGGTGGGCATTGACCTTGAACAATTATGGATCTGGACCAAACTTGGCATGAATACTCAATACGTCCAAATGTGAACACTGGTGCAGTTTAGGGGGGAAAGACCTGCATCAATTCTTCAGTGTGGATGCAGCCTTAGATAGTTCTGGTAATAAGACAGAACACAATAAGATCCATAAAGGTATAAACTGCAGCTGTACAGTGTAGCTCAGGCATGGGAAAAGTTCGGCCCTCCAGGTGTTTTGGACTCCAACTCCAGGTGTTTTGGACTCCGGTAGGCTGTTAGGAATTGTGGGAGTTGAAGTCCAAAACACCCGGAGGGCCCAAGTTTGCCCATACCTGGTGTAGCTGCACCTTGGGACTCACAGAAGCAAAAATGGGATTTAAGAAAAATGCAAAATCTCTGAGCAAAAGAAAATACCTCACCGTGCCTAACGACGGAGTGAATGCCAATCCTCTTTTTAAAATTATCAAGCCATCCCCGACTGGCTTTGAACGACTCTTTCGGTGCCTCATCCGTTGATGTTCCCGGCGTCTGACGCATCAAATCCCTGTAAATGGCCCGTGCCTTCTCGCAGATGATGCTCTCGGTCACGGAATCTCCCGCGAGCTGGCTCTCCGTCATCCACGCCAACAACAACTTCTCCATCTCTTCGTGGAGAGCAGTCCGGCGCTTTGAAATAATCGTGACGCCCTTGGCTGGCGTTATGGCCTTGATTGACTCCTTCTGCTTCAAAACCGAACATATCATTGAAGCGCTACGATCGTACTGCCTTGCCAAGTCGACAACACGCACACCTTGCTCGTGTTTCTCGATGATTTCGTGCTTTATATCCAAGCACATCATCCTTTTCTTCTTGGCACCGACTTTCTTTGGACCCATGGTTAGCCAGACCTTTAAACCAAGAGATTCAGAATATAGATTTGTTATGATTGTTAAGACAATACCCTTAGATCACAACGGGTGGTGTCAGAGGAGTCACCAAAGATGACCAAAAACACCATATTTTCTATTGGTCATAGGGTTTTGTGTGGGCAGTTTGGCTCAATTCTATCATTGGTGGGGTTCAGAATGCTCTCTGATTGTAAGTGAACTATACATCCCAGAAGCGACAACTTCCAAATGTCAAGGTCTATTTTCCCCAAACCCAACCAGTGTTCACATTTGGGCATACTGAGTGCTCGTACCAAGTTTGATCCAGGTCCATCATTATTTGAGTCCACAGTGCTCTCTGAATGTAAGTGAACTATACATCCCAGAAACTACAACTCTAAAATCATAACAGTAAATAAACAGCAACACTCAAAAACAGGAGAATTCCAGGCAAGAATCAACCAGGGCCAGCTAACACCTCCAATCAAAGGATTCCCCAGGCAGGAAGCACCCAGGCTTTGAAGCTGTATAGCCATTCAGTGCTGATCAAGGTAGCCAATTGCTACATTCACACTTGCCTCAAGCAGACAAGAGCTCTTTCTCCCACTGTGGACATTCCACAGATGTATAAACCACACTTGCCTAGTTTCCAACAGACCTCTCAAACTCTGAGGATGCCTGCCATAGATGTGGGTGAAACGTCAGGAGAGAATGCTTCTGGAACATGGCCATACAGACCAAAAGACTTACAGCAACCCAGTGATTCTGGCTATGAAAGCCTTTGACAATACAAAGTTTATTATGCTTATGATTATGATTATGATTATTATTATTGGGTTGTAGGTTTTTCAGGCTATATGGCCATGTTCTAGAAGCATTCTCTCCTGACATTTCTCCTGCATCTATGGCAAGCATCTTAGAGGTTGTAAGATCCCACAACCTCTGAGGATTCCTGCCATAGATGAAGGCGAAACGTCAGGAGATAATGCTCCTAGAACAACAACCCAGTGATTCCAGCCATGAAAGCCTTTGACAATACATTATTATTATTATTATTATTATTATTATTATTATTATTATTAGAAATACAACAAAATTAGTACACAGCAAACAAGATCACTACACTGGCTGTTATATTGGATCACACGTCGGACACTTTCCAAACCTCTAAGATAGCTAATCCATATGTGCATAATGTGTGCAGATCCCAGTAACGTGGCCTTTTGCAGCTGGCAGATGGTAATTTTGTCAGGGCCAATTGTGTTTAAGTGCAGGCCAAGGTCTTTAGGCACTGTACCCAGTGTGTCAATCATCACTGGGACCCCCGACTGGCTTGTGCCAGAGTCTTTGCAGTTCGATCTTTAAATCCTCATATCGTGTCAGCTTTTCCAGTCGTTTCTCTTCAATAATAATGATAATAATAATAATAATGACTGCTCTCTCCATCCCTATCTGCTGCAAGCATCTTACCTCTTCCTATGCGCCCTCCTCCTTTTTCTTTCTCCTCCTTTCCTTTCTTTTGGGTGCCTCCAAAGACAGAGGCCAAGCCAGGCCAGACCCTCTCCCTTCCTTCCTTCTCTCTTGGAGTTTCAATAAGAACAAAAGCCCCCTCTGCCCCACTTTTGGCAATGTTTACTCCTCCCTCCTTTGGCTTTCACAGCCCTCTCTAGGCAGCTCAGCTCTACCAGCTTAACCCTTTGAAAACCCTGTTGGGAAAACATTTAGCCTTCCAGATTTGGTTAAACTGCAAGCCCTAAGCTTCCTAGGGTGGCCACAACTTGGAGAGGGTGCTTCTGCTTTTAGTATCTATATAAGAGAAGGAATTGCAGCAGAGGACCTTTGCTAGCTGACAGTGTGGCCAGCAAACCCTGCTAGATTTCCTCTAGACCAGTGTTTCTCTACCATCTTAATGCCACAAACCCTTAATACAGTTCCCCATGTTGTGGTGACCCCCAACCATAACATTATTTTTGTTGCTATTTCATAACTAACTTTGTTGCTATTTCATAACTAACTTTGTTGCTATTTCATAACCAATTTTGCTACTGTTATGAATCACAATGTAAATATCTGATATGCAGGATGTGTTTTCATTCATTGGACCAAATTTGGCACAAATACCCGATACGCCCAAATTTGAATACTGGTGGGGGGGTTAGATATTGTTCTTAATTATTTATTTATTTTTATATAGTAAGGTAAAGGTAGTCCCCTGACATTAAGTCCAGTCATGTCTGACTCTGGGGTGTGGTGCTCATCTCCATTTCTAAGCCGAAGAGCCAGCATTGTCCGTAGACACCTCCAAGGTCATGTGGCCGGCATGACTGCATGGAGCGCCCTTACCTTCCCGCCGAGCGGTACCTATTGATCTACTCACATTTGCATGTTTTCGAACTGCTAGGTTGGCAGAAGCTAGGGCTGACAGCGGAAGCTCACGCCGCTCCCTGGAATCGAATCTGCGACCTTTCAATCAACAAGCTCAGCAGCTCAGTGCTTTAACCCACTGCGCCACCAGGGGCTCCTGCTGGGATTTATAGTTCACCTAAAATCAAAGAGCCTTCTGAACTCCACCAATGATGGAACTGAATCAAACTTCACACACAGAATTCCCATGACCAACAGAAAATACTAGAAGGGTTTGGTGGACATTGACCTTGAGTTTTGGAGTTGTAGTTCACCTACATCCAGAGAGCACTGTGGACTCAAACAATGATGGATCTGGACCAAACTTGGTACAAATACTCAATATGCCCAAATGTGAACACTGATGGGGAAAATAGACCTTGACATTTGGGAGTTGTAGTTGCTGTAATTTATAGTTCACTTACAATCACAGAGCATTCTGAATTCTACCAATGATAGACTTGGGCCAAACTTTGCACACAGAACCCCCATGAACAAGAGAAAATACTGGAAGGGTTTGCTTCGCATTGATCTTGAATTTTGGAGCTGTAGTTCGCCTACATCCAGAAAGCAGGGGGAGGGCATTTGGTGGGAGGATTTGCCATCTGTTTCCAAAAAGGAAGAGAAGGACCGGCGGATAGATTTTAAACCTTCTCTGTCAAAGGTGTTCCTAAGACCATGAGATATATGTTTTCCGATGGCCTTTGGTAACCCCTTTGAAACCCCCCACTCAGGGGTCCCAACCCCCAGGCTGAAAAACACTGGACTAAGCTCTCATCTTTTGTCACTCTACTCAGATAAGATGACTCTTGTTTTGATATAAGAATTAGAGTACACTACTTACACTGACCTGTGGATAAATTTATTTATTTATTTATTTGCTATACTTGTATACCGCCGTTTCTCAGCCTAACCGACGACTCAACGCGGTTTACAACAACTTATAACAAACAACAGTATACAGTTTAAAAGCATAAAAACATAATCCACAATACATATATCAATAAACAATCCAATTCATCTCTTGACTAAAATCGTGATCCAGTTTCGTCGTCCAGATTGCCAGTCCTTCAATCATTACACTTATTGCACTGAGTTAACCGAACGCCTGCTCGAACATCCACGTTTTTAGTCTTTTCCTGAATACCATCAATGAGGGAGCTGATCTTACCTCCATGGGGAAGGGCGTTCCATAGCCGCGGGGCCACCACAGAAAAGGCCCTGTCTCTCGTCCCCGCCAGCCGCACCTGTGAAGGCGGGATAGAGAGCAGGGACTCTCCAGAAGAGCTTAGGGTCCTGGTGGGCTGATAGGCTGAGATACGTTCGGATAGATAAGTTGGGCCAGAACCGTTTAGGGCTTTAAAGGCCAACGCCAGCACTTTGAATTGAGCCCGGTAGCAGATCGGCAGCCAGTGGAGCTGGTGCAGCAGAGGAGTTGTATGCTCCCTGCGCTCCGCTCCAGTTAGTATCATGGCTGCCGAGCGTTGGACTAATTGGAGCTTCCGGGCCGTCTTCAAAGGCAACCCCACGTAGAGAGCGTTGCAGTAGTCTAAACGGGATGTAACCAGAGCGTGGACTACCGTGGCCAAGTCAGACTTCCCAAGGTACGGGCGCAGTTGGCGCACAAGTTTTAACTGTGCGAATGCTCCCCTGGTCACCGCCGAAACCTGGGTCTCCAGGCTCAGCGATGAGTCCAGGATCACTCCCAAGCTGCGAACCTGCGTCTTCAAGGGGAGTGCGACCCCATCCAACACAGGTTGTAACCCTATACCCTGTTCGGCCTTGCGACTGACCAGGAGTACCTCTGTCTTGTCTGGATTCAATTTCAGTTTGTTCGCCCCCATCCAGACCGTCACAGCGGCCAAGCACCGGTTCAGGACCTCGACAGCCTCCTTAGTAGCAGGTGGAAAGGAGTGACAGAGTTGGACATCATCTGCGTACAGATGACATCGCACTCCGAAACTCCGGATGATCTCACCCAGCGGCTTCATGTAGATGTTAAACAACATGGGAGACAGTATTGAGCCCTGAGGAACCCCACAAGACAAAGGTTGTGGGGTTGAACAGGAGTCTCCCAGTAACACCTTCTGAGACCGACCCTCAAGGAATGAGCGGAGCCACTGTAAAACAGTACCTCCAAGACCCATCCCCGCGAGGCGTCCCAGAAGGATACCGTGGTCGACGGTATCGAAGGCCGCTGAAAGGTCCAGCAGCACCAACAGGGACACACTCCCTCTGTCGAGCTCCCGGCGCAGATCATCCACTAAGGCGACCAAGGCTGTCTCAGTACCATGCCCCGGCCTAAAGCCAGACTGTGCCGGATCCAGATAATCCGTGTCTACCAAGAATGTCTGGAGTTGTGAGGCCACCACACGTTCCAGACTTTGCCCAAGAAGGGGAGATTGGAAACTGGCCGATAGTTGTCACATTGAGTGGGGTCCAGTGATGGTTTTTTCAACAGCGGTTTTATTATAGCTTGTTTTAAGCTCGCTGGAATTATGCCTTCCCGAAGGGAGGCATTAACCACCACCTAGGATGCATGTGGTAGCTCTCATTCCTCCAAGCACCTTGTCCACATCCTCGGATTGAACCAATTGAAATGAATCCATCAAAACCGGACAAGCAGATGCTCGTGTTACATCCTCAGAGACTGCCGTTAATATGGTATCCAGACCAGAGCGGATCAAAGCGACTTTGTCTGCAAAGAACTGAGCAAAGGCTTCACAGCGAACTGCCGAGTCATCAGGGCACCCATCCTGCATGGTGGGTTTTAAAAGGCCTCTGACAACTCGGAACAGTTCAGCCGGACGGTTCTTTGCAGACGCAATAGTAGCCGCAAAGAAAGTCTTCTTTGCGGCTTTTATTGCCGCGGCATATGCCCTTAAAAAGGACACAAACCGTGTTCGATTTGGCTCGCTCGGATTCGAACGCCACACGCTCTCTAGTTCCCTCTTCTTTCGCTTCAACGCTGCCAGCTCCTCAGTGAACCAAGGAGCTGGTTTAGCTCGGCTACTTGAGAGGGGACGTTCTGGAGCGATCGTGTCTATTGCCCTAGCCATCTCCCCATTCCAGAGAGCGACCAGGGCATCGACAGGATCACCAACCGAGGCGGCGGGAATCCAGGATTTTTGGGTAGATTTTTTTTATTAGGATTTCCAAACTTCCACATGAGTATATAGGGCAGGGGTCCCCAAACTAAGTCCCAGGGGCTGGATGAGATCCTCCAAGGTCATTTGCTCGGCCCTGGCCCTAAACTATAGTCTAAGGACTGCCCTAAATCTGAAATAACTTGAATGTACACAACGACAATCGTAATTAACTTGACTATCTTATCAGCCCAAAGCAGACCCACACTTCCCATTAAAATACTGGTAAGTTTATGTTGGTTAAAATTCTTCAACATTTTTAATATTCAGTTCTTGTGGGTTTTTTCGGGCCTCTGAGGATGCTTGCCATAGATGCAGGCGAAACGTCAGGAGAAATGCCTCTAGAACATGGCCATATAGCCCGAAAAAAACCCACAAGAACTGAGTGATTCCAGCCATGAAAAGCCTTCGACAATACATTTTAATATTGTTTTGCTCTACAAATAAGATATGTGCTGTGCTGTGTGTGTAGGAATTGGTTCATGATTTTTTCAACAGTCTGAGGGACCGTGAACTCAGTCCAGAGTATTTTTTTTGAAAAATATTTTTATTAATTTTGTTTTACGAAGTTGCAATAAAATCTCATGATGGACGTGGTAGGGTATTGGGGGGAAGGTAGGACGGGGAGGGAAAACTATAACCAAGGGGTGGGATAGGGTGGGGAGGTAGGGAGGGGGATGGGAAGGGGATATGGGGATAGGGTCGGTCAATCGGTTGCTTCCAGGTTCTCGCAGGGTGGTTCATCTTGTTCTACAATTTTAAACTCTTTTTATAAACTATATATAATATATTCTTCCTATCAAGTGTATAGAGTATTTATTTTAAAGAGGACATTGGATTGTTTGTTGGGCAGGGAGAAAAGACCAACACAGCCACACCAGGATTCAGCAATTGCTGCGTTTTTTGCAGCTAGTTCTCTTGGCATGGGTTCTCTGATGTACAGTCATGTTGGCCCTTTGACTGAAGCTCCTCCCGCACTCTGAACACATGTATGGTTTCTCTCCAGTGTGGATCCTCTTATGTGTGACAAACGAGGACTGGTCGCGGAAGTTCTTGCCACATTCGGAGCAGGAAAACGGCTTCTCCCCTGTGTGTATCCGTTGATGGACGCTAAGGTTTCCTTGGTATCTGAAACATTTCCCACACTCTGTACATTTATAGGGTTTCTCCCCCGTGTGCACTCTTTCGTGCTCAATGACCTTGCACTTGTTGGTGAAGCTTTTGCTGCAATACAGGCAGCGGTGTGGTTTCTCTGCTTTGTGAGTCTCCCGATGCCTATGCAAGTTGGCGCTCGAGTTGAAGCTTTCGGAGCATTGGTATGGCTTCTCTCCGGTGTGGATGATTTGGTGTGACTTCAGGAAGATCTTCCGACTGAAGGATTTCCCACACTCCAAGCACTGGTGCGGCTTCTCCCCAGTGTGGGTTGTTTGATGTTGCCTGAGATTGAAGCTCTGATGAAAGCATTTCCCACACTCCAAGCATTGATATGGCTTCTCTCCACTGTGCATCTGTCGATGTAAGCGAAGGCTTCCATGGCGTTTGAAACTCTTTCCACATTCTGTACATTTGTACGGTTTCTCCTTGGTGTGGATTACCTGGTGTGACTTGAGATGGGCACTCCGACCAAAGCATTTCCCACATTTGGAGCATTGGTACGGTTTCTCTCCTGTGTGGATTCTCTGGTGTGAAGAGAGGTAGGACTTACAACCAAAGCACTTCCCACACTCCAAACATTTAAACAGCTTCTTCCCTCTTTGAGTCCTTGGATGCTTCATCTTACCAAGATCCGAATTCATACACTGTCTCTCATCTACAGAAATACTTTGATTCATGTACATGTTGGAACTCGTCCCTGTAGAAAACGTTTCATGTTCAGTCAGTTTTCCACTCTCACTGAAGATCTTTGCAAGCATTAAATCTGATTCGTCCTCAGGGCGACTTCTACAATGAACACTGGAGAAAGCAACCCCCTTTTTTTCTTTCACACTTTCCTGCTGGATTGAGATTTCTTGGGAGTCTCCCACCTGCAATGGGAAGGATTTGGCTTCCGACTCTTCTGTGTGGCTTCCGTCTTGGCTCGCTGGCCCATCTTGGCTCCAAACATTCTCCTCCAATGCTTCACCCTCTGTCCTTTCTGAGGAACCCTCACCTAGTTGACCCTCATTCTCACTTTTCCATTCATCACCTGTTGGAAATAAAGCAGAAGGCAAATTAAGACCCATTCTCACAACGCCACCAGGAAGTTCCCCAGGAAAGTTTAGGGGGGAAAAGACACAGTGGTTGCTCCCAAGTCTTTGGAAATTATTCCCTGGCAAAGCTAATATTGTCCCTCCTTTCTTTCTTTTGACTGACCAAATAAAACTGTATAGTCTGAGAAAATTTCTGAATTTTGAATAAGAGCCAAAACAAAAATTGAACCATGTATTTTCTAAATTTTTTTCCATTTCCTTCTGTTTCTCGCACAGCATCCATTTCTGCAGTTCAACAAGCTACATGTTTATTTATTCAGATTTTTTCCCTTATATGGCTCCTTCATCAAGTATAACAACAGGGAGAAATGAAAGAGAGTTCTTGCAATCCTGGGGCAAGATAGGTCAGATTACCTCCATGACAGGCTCCCTGGGTTTAAGGTCCTGCTGTTAAATGTCAGATCCGTATAGTTGTGTGTCATCTGTATGCAGATGACACACAACTCTATTACTCATTTCCATCTCAATCCAAGGAAGCTCCCTGAGTCCTGGACCGGTGCCTGGCAGTGGTGATGGGCTGGATGAGGCAAAGGACTTGATCTGGGAAGAACAAGCGGAGCTGGCTTGCATCACCGAGACCTGGCTTGACGATTTGGGGGGAAGTCAACATAATCATTTTCTGTCCACTGGGCTTTGGGGTGCACCAGCAGGCTAGGCCAAGAGGACGGGGAGGTGAGATTGCAGTGGTCAATTGGGATTCTATCCCCCTGACCAGGTGCCGTGTTCCACAATCGCCGAGGTTTGAATGTGTCCAGCTGAGAGTGGGTAACCAGGACAGATTGGGGATTCTGCTGGTGTACCGACCACCCCGCTGCACAAACAGATTCCCTACTCAGCTAGTGGGGGTGGTCTCAGGCCTGGCGTTGGAGTCTCAGCGGCTCATAGTTGTTTTAGGCCCGGTCACAGAATGGAGATAGCTTTGGTTGCCTTGGTGGATAACCTCCGCAGAGAGCTAGACAGGGGGAGTGTATCCCTGTTGTTTCCCCTGGATCTCTCAGCTTTCAATACCATCGACCATTGTATCCTTCTGGACCGGCTCTCCAGGATGGAACTTAGAGGCATTGCTTTGCAGTGGCTCTGCTCATTCCTGGAGGACTGGACCCAGATGGTGGTTCTGGGGGCTGCCTGCTTGGAGCCCTGGCCATTGGCTTGTGGTGTCTTGCAGAGCTCCATTTTATCCCCCATGCTTTGCAATATTATCTACATCAGGGGTCCTCAAACTAAGGCCTGGGGGACGGATACGGCCCTCCAAGGTCATTTACCCGGCCCTCGCTCAGGGTCAACCTAAGTCTGAAATGACTTGAAAGCACACAACAACAATAATCCTATCTCATCAGCCAAAAGCAGGCCCACACTTCCCATTGAAGTACTCATCTATATAAATAAAAATGTAATGTTTATTTGTGGGATCAACATAACTCAAAAACCACTGGACGAATTGACATCAAATTTGGACACAAGGCACCTATCAGGCCAACAAGTGACCATCACCCATAAAAACACTGGAAAACACAGCAGAAGAGACCTTAAAAGCCAAAAATTAAAAAAATTACAATGCATGTGCAAAACCACATATACACATATACACATACAAAACACATATACACAGACTGGGCCACAGCAACGTGTGGCAGGAGATGGCTAGTAAGTTTATTATTTGTTAAAATTGTTCTTAATTTTAATTATTGTATTGTTTTAAAGTTTGTTTTGCACTACAAATAAGGTATGTGCAGTGTGCATAGGAATTCATGTTTTTTCCAATTATAATCTGGCCCTCCTACAGTTGAAGGACTGTTATCTGGCCCTCTGTTTAAAAAGTTTGAGGGCCCCTGATCTTCATGAAACCACTAGGTGAGGTCTTCTGTACGCAGATGACACACAACTCTATTACTCGTTTCCATCTCAATCCAAGGAAGCTCCCTGACTCCTGGACTGGCGCCTGGGCAGCGGTGATGGGCTGCATGAGGCAAAAATACTTAAACTTAATTCTGACAAGACAGAGGTCCACCTGGTTAGTCATGAGGCCAATCAGGGTATAGTGTGGTCACCTGTGCATGATGGGCAACGCTGCCTCTGAGGACACAGGTCCGCACGTTGGGGGTCCTCTTGGACTCAGTGCTGATGTTTGAAGCTCAGGTGTCAGTGGTGGCCAGGAGGGACTATGAACAATTAAAATCTGGGCACCAACTGTGATTGTACCTCGAAATGCCAGTTCTGGCCATAGTGGTCCATGCTTTAGTTACATCTTGTATGGATTACTGCAATGCACTCTATATAGGGCTGCCTCTGAAGACAGCTTGGAAACTTGTTAGTACAAAGATGGGCGGCCAGGCTGCTGACGGGGGTGGGTTATAGAGATCAAACGACCCCCTCCTGAAGCAGCTTCACTGGTTGCCTATTTGCTTCCTGGCCCAATTCAAAGTTCAGGTTATTATTGATAAAGCTCTGCACAGTTCAGGTCCTGCCTATTTACATGACCACATCCCCCATATAAACCTGTTCAGGCCTTATGATTGACTAGGGACCGCATTTCCATCTATGAACCCACGGGTTCACTTCGGTCATCTGGAGAGGCCCTGCTCGTGATCCCACCGGCGTCGCAAGCGCGCTTGGTGGGGACGCAGGACAGGGCCTTTTCCGTGGTGGCCCCCCAACTCTGGAACACCCTCCCCAAAGACCTTAGACAGGCCCCTTCATTGGCTGTCTTCAGAAAGAACTTGAAAACCTGGCTTTTCCGATGCACCTTCCCAGATTAGGAAATCTCCACTACCAAGTCCCATAAGCACTTTACCAGAACCAATGATTGTTGCACACCGCACATCGCACTTGCCCTAGAAGCCCTTTATACACCTCCTGTCACATCAGCACTTTTAATCCTTGTACCCACCTTTTGGCCCGGCCCAGTTTTATTGTGTTTTAGTGTATTGTGCCTGTTGTTTACTTTGCTTCATTCTGTTTTGTTTGATTTGCTTAGATTGCATTGTTATGTTGTGTTGTTGAGGCCTCGGCCTGTGTAAGCCGCATCGAATCCTTCGGGAGATGCTAGCGGGGTACAAATAAAGTTTAATAATAATAATAATAATAGGGAGGCCGACCTCTCAGTCCCACCTCTGTTTCCCCAAAAATAAGTGTCTTATATTAATTTTTGCTCCCAAATATGCGCTAGGTCTTATTTTCAGGAAATGTCTTATTTTTCCATGAAAAAAAATTCACATTTATTGCTGAACAAAATTTTTATTAAATTATTTATTTATAGTATTTATATACCACCTTTCTCACCCCTGGGGGGACTCAAATCGGTTTACACATAAATAATGGCAAAATTCAATGCCTTACATTGGGCACCGATACGATGCCAATACAAACAATTACAATAGTAAAACCACAATTAAACATAAATCATAATTAAAACAATACATCAACAAGCATTAAATCAATGAAACAGTCTTGTCAGTCGAATCACCATTCCAGTCCATGTCCCTCTAAAATGCTACATACACCTACTGTCTGAAGGCCTGGTCCCAGAAACAATGATTTTAATTTTTTTTCTAAAAGCCAGGAGGGAGGGAGTGGATCTTACCTCATTCGAGAGAGTGTTCCATAGGCAGGGGGCCACAGCCAAGAAGGCCCTGTGTCTTGTCCCCGCCAGACACATTTGTGCTGCTGACTGGAAAGAGAACAGGGCCTCCCCGGATGATCTTAGATTATGAGGTGGGATATAGGGGTGGATGCGTTCGGACAAGTAAGTTGGGCCAGAACCATATAGAGCTTTATAGGTCAAAACTCGGAGATGGACCGGCAGCCAGTGGAGCTGGCATAGCAGGGGTGTGTGCGCTCCCTGTATGTCACCCTGGGTAGTAATCTGGCTGCCGCCCGTTGGACTAGCTGAAGTTTCCGAACCATCTTCAAAGGCAGCCCTATGTAGAGCACATTGCAGTAATCTATTCGGGATGTAACCAGAGCGTGGACCACCGTGGCCAGATCAAACTTCCCAAGGTATGGGTGCAGCTGGTGCACGAGTTTTAACTGTGCAAAAGCTCCCCTGGCCACTGCCAAAACCTGGGCTTCCAGGCTCAGCGATGAATCCAGGATCACTCCCAAGCTGAGAACCTGCGCCTTCAGGGGGAGTGTAACCCCATCCAACACAGGCTGTAACCCTATGCCCTGTTTGGCCTTTCGACTGACCAGGAGGACCTCTGTCTTGTCTGGATTCATTTCAATTTGTTAGCCCTCATCCAGTCCAACACAGCAGCCAAGCACTGGTTCAAAGTCTGAACAGCCTCCTTAGTGACAGGTAGGAAGGAGTGACAGATTTGGATGTCATCTGCATACAGATAACACCTTACTCCGAAACTCTGGATGATCTCCCCCAGTGGCTTCATGTAGATGTTAAATAACATCGGGGACAGTACTGAACCCTGAGGGACTCCACAAGATAACGGGTATGGAGCCGAACAGGTGTTACCCAGTAACACTCTCTGAGACCGACCCTCCAAGAAAGACTGGACCCACTGCAGAATAGTACCCCTAAGTCCCATTTCTGTGAGGCATCCCAAAAGGATACTGTGGTCAATGGTATCGAAGGCCACTGAGAGGTCCAGCAGAACCAACAGGGACACACTCCCCCTGTCTAGCTCCCGGCGTAGATCATCTACTAAGGCGACCAAGGCTGTTTCAGTGCCATGTCCTGGCCTAAAGCCAGACTGTGCCAGATCTAGATATCAGTGTCTACCAAGAACCCCTGGAGTTGCGAAGCCACTACATGTTCCATAACTTTGCCCAAGTAAAGAAGATTGGAGACTGGCCGAAAGTTGACTAATTAATTGATGAAAAAACCAGTGATGGTTTTTTTTCCAATGGCAGTTTTATAACAGCCTGTTTTAGGCTGGCTGGAATCTTGCCCTCCTGTAAGGAGGCATTAACCACCACCTTAACCCCCCTCTGCCAAACCCCCTCTGGCTTCTCTTATCAGCCAGGATGGGCAGGGGTCTAGGATGCATGTGGTAGGCCTCGCTTCTCCAAGAGTCTTGTCCACATCCTCGAGCTGCGCAGATTGAAACGAATCCATCAAAATTGGACAAGCAGATGCTCATGTTACATCCTCAGAGACTGCCATTAATGTGGGGTCTAAGCCAGAGCAGATCAAAGCAACTTTGTCTGCGAAGAATCGAGCAAATGCTTCACAGCAGGCTGCCGAGTTGTCAGGAATCCCGTCTTGGCAGACGGGATTTAACAACCCTCTGAATACTCGGAACAGCTCCGCTGGATGGTTCTTTGCAGACGCAATATTAGCTGCAAAGAAAGAATTCTTTGCGGCTTCTATTGCCGCAGCGTATGCCTTTAGATAGGCATCCAGCCGTGATTGATTTTACTTGCTAGGCTCTTTCCACCACATGCTCTCTAGTTGCCTCTTCATTCGATTCATCGCTGCCAGCTCCTCAGTGAACCAAGGAGATGGTTTAGCTCAGCTACACGAGAGGGGATGTTCTGGAGTGATCGTGTCTATTGCCCTAATCATTTCACTATTCCAGTGGGTGACCAGAGCATCGACAGAATCACCAACCAAGGAGGCAGGAATATCCCCAAGAGCCATCAGGAGTCCATCTGGATCCATAAGAACAATGAACATTTATTATCTACTGTACAGTAGTTGTCATCACAAACCAGCATAGCCAGACAAACTGTGAATCCTATCAAAAATTTCTTGTGACTACTATTACTTCCATCTACAACAATCTATGGTACATTTACCGATCCCAATATTTATGAACACAAAGCAAGACTTATTCAATGACAGTCATGTCATCATCTTCTGGAACATCATCGTAACAATCCAAACTATGAATTTCCTGGTTAATATCTCGTGACTCCATTTCTTTGAGAATCATTGGCCCAAATCTCTCATGTCTGGCAATAGCACTGTCCTTAAAGGAGTACTTCTTATCGAGGTAGCCTGCTCGTAGTGCATTGGCAATGCAACTGTCTGTGATTTTCTCCCATGAGTTCTTCACCCAAGTCACAATCTCTTGCAATTTTGGCTTCACAACGTTTCCACACTGATTTCTCTCCATACTATTGTCAATGTAGTCATTCATTTCCATGTGCAAATTGTCCTTGAATTGCTTTTTTATGGCAATATCAAAAGTCTGGAGATAGGCCGCCATTCCTGCGGGAATCATAATTTGATCTATTTTTCTTTCGTGGAGAAATGTCTTCATGTCTTTAGCGCGGTGTGTGCTGGCGGCATCCCAGACGAGCAGACCTTTTTGGCTCCCTCGTATAACAAGCGGCAGCATTACATCCACCCACTTCCTTAGAACTGCTTGTGTGGCCCAGGGTTTTTCCGTTTCAAGAACAAAAATGCCTGAAACATGTTCAATCTGATCCTTCTTGCCCTTGGAAATTATTAAAGGTGGGACTTTAGTGCCATCCAGGCGAATTGCCAAAATACAGGCGACACGTGCACTTTCGTAAGCAGTCATGGGAACGGATACTAAGGAGGCGCCCCGCTGTTCGATTGTTGTTTGAGATGCTTGGCCCATAAACACTGCCATTTCGTCCATAGCAATCATGTTGGAAAGATCATATTTAGAGAAGTCAGTGTCATCAACAAAGGACTTGAATGCAAAGGCACGTTTAATAATTTCAGCATCTCCCAGCCTAAACAGAGTTGTGGATCTTCTTAAAGACAGTTCGCTTCGCTGAAGGAAGCTATCCAGCCAGTGTTGGGATGCTTTAAATTCTTCGGGGGCTATTTCAAACTGTGGTGCCATGGCAAGGGCAAACGCTTGAATCTGAGCCCTAGTCACAACCAAAGCCTTTGCTCTCCTGTCCACAACCCATTCGCAGATCAGGTCTTCCAGTTCGGAAAATAATGGTTGCCGTCCCGATCCACACTTGCGCTTTTTAGCATTTCCGTTGTCCACTTGTTGACTGAGGTTACCGTAATCTGCTCGCCATTTTCGGACCAATCGGCTACTCAACATTTTCTCTTTGCAGAAAGCAGTCAGATTTTTGCCACGAGAATCTTCCACGATTCCTTTCTTATACTCGACGGAATAGCTCTTTCTTTTTGCGCTCATGTCTAGGGGTAAAAATATACCAGCACTGTTTATTTCTTGTACTTCAGACCCTTCCGCAGAAAAGCAGACACCCCTAAAGAATCAGAGTAACACACTGGTTGCCTGACTCACACATAGAGCTCCCAAACACTGGGGACTGTAATGATCTCCCACAGCAGTTCCTGGACCACTTGGACAGCAGGGACGGTATTGCAGTTTCTGGCCACCATGCGGAGCTCACCATAGCACACTTGTACAGCACAGCAGGGACAGCATACAGTATGTCGGCAGGCAATGGGCCTCTTGATGCCTTGCCTGCACATGTACAAGTGACGGCCACAGAAGAGAACATTGGGGTTAGCAGCAGGTGACGGTCTTCATGTCCTGCGTGCAGCTGCTTTGCAATGGATGGTGAAGGTAGGGGACAACAGCAGTGAGCTAAAAAGAATCACAGCTGCATGCTCTGGTGTTCTGTCCGGTGGGCTTCCTTCCAAACAAAAACTTTGCTAGGTCTTACTTTTGGGGGAGGACTTATATTTAGAAATTCAGCAAAACCACTACTAGGTCTTATTTTCAGAGGATGTCTTATTTTCGGGAAGACATGGTAGAAAGCTAGGCTGGCGGGAATGAGGGAGAGGATCTTCTCAGTAGTGGCTCCCCAACCCTGGAATGCCTCCCCCAAGAAGATTAGACAGGCATACACCCTCATGACATTTAGGAGGGACCTGGTTGTTTAAACAGGCTTTTGACAGCAATTAGTCAATTTCTAAGATATGGATTTATGGTAGCCAGCCCCTGTTAGCTCACAGTTTTTAATCTAATGTTTATAATGTTACTGTTAATTATTTTGTTACTTGATTGTGCTGTACCTTGTGTTTATACCATTTGGAAGTGTTATTGTTTTTTTCCACTTTATATGTTTTATTGCATTGCACTTACTGTATTATTTATGTTGTAAGCTGGCCCGAGTCCTCTGGGAAAAGGGGGCGGGATATAAATAAACATTATTATTATGAAAACATTACCTAGCATAATTACATCTGGTTGTATACCACAAGAGAAGATTCGACTTTAAAAAGTTTTTGCTCTTCTTTGAAAACTCATGCTTTTCTAAAAAGTTATGGTCCCCAAAAGGTTATGTTTCTCCAAAAAGTGGAATGGCCATCTGTTGGGATGCTTTAACTGTGTTTTTCTGCATGGCAGCACAGAGATGGACTGGCTGGTCTTTGCAGACTCTTCCAACTCTATGACTCTCATTACAGGACCCATTGGTAACCCCATCACCCACAAAACTGGAAGTATCTCAACAGCAGAATCTATATGGTTTTGCATGGATGTGGTATTGGGGGCTGTGCAGTGGCGGTTGGGGTTTGGATGGATAGGTGTGTTGTACTGTGGAAGGCATTTAATAGAACTTTATTTCTTAATTAGTCGCTCTCCACCAAGGTGCTCCAAGAGACTTACAATTTAAAATAGCATTTCACAATATAAAAACATTCAACATAACAACATTCAACAGTGACTATTTGGCAAATTAGATCTGATTACTTAAATGCACAACCAAACAGCCAAGTCTTGAGCGCCTTTACAAAAGGTCGCAACTCCGACATTGCTCTAATATATGGAGGCAATGAGTTCCACAGAATTGGAGCATAGATCGAAAAAGCTCTACGCCTTGTAGCTTCCAAGTGTACCTCCCTAGGGCCCGGTATGTATAGGAGATTTTCCTGGGTGGATCGAGGTAACCACTGATGGGGAAAAGGAATGAGGCGGTCCCTAAGATATAAAGGTCCTTGGCCATTTTGAGCTCTAAATGTCAGGATCAGTATCTTGTAAGAGATCCGATGTTCTATTGGTAGCCAATGCAGTTGTTGCAGAATCGGTGTAATATGGAATCTTATAGATGGTCCCGCTAGCAGCCTGGCCGCCACATTTTGGATCATCTGAATCTTCTGGGTCGTTGACTTCGGAAGGCCAGCATATAAGGCATTGCAATAGTCCAACCTCGTGGTGACTGTTGCGTGGATTACGTTGCCAATGCTTCTACCAAAAGGTAGGATGCCAATTTCCTTGCCTGGCGAAGATGAAAAAAGGCCTGCTTACTTATGGCAGTGATCTGGGCCTCCATCGTCAGCGATGAGTCCAACACAACCCCAAGGCTTTTAACAGTGGCAGACAGAACCAGAACTTTCCCATTGAAATCAGGCAGAGAATGGATTAATTCTGGCGGCTGGCCAGGCCAGAGTATCTCAGTTTTACGATTTCTATGTACGATTTCACTTACTTACACTTAAGGGAAAATTATCTCTCTAGGTATTTGCTAGATCCTCCAGTGTGATTCTATGGTATGTTTCCGCAGAACATTTTTGACCTTTGATGGCCAGAACTGGATACAATAATCCAGGTGAGGATTGATCAGTGATTATAAGGATTTCCAGTCCCTTAACACCCCAGGAAGGGGAAATGTTGGTCTTCCAGATACTACAACGATCAAATCATTTGGCACAGCATTTCAGACACTTGGAGCTCCATGGACCTGGCAGACCCTTGGGCATAGACTATCCAAAGGAAAAAGGGAAGGCCCTACTTAGGGGGAGAGGCAGCCACAGTGCTGTGGTTAGTCTAGGAAAAACATCCCCAACATCCAAGGACACAAAAACCCATTCTTCTTACCCAAGGGTCCAGCATCCCCACAGTTATCTTCCTGTTTGGTCTCCACACTAAACGTCTTCTGCTCCATCTCAAGCAGGGCTTGGCCACCTTCAGGGGAACCCACTGTGTCCTCTTCCTCTAACGGCACCTAAAATAGTTATCACTTGTTAGTCAAAAGTATATTTTAAGAACATAGATTTCCTCTGCTCTACATTGTCCTCAAAGTATTTGTGAGGTAGGTCAGAGCCAGAGAAAATAACTAGCCCATGGTCACGGAATACATTTCATGGTCCAGAAGGGACTTGAATCCATATCATGCAAGTCACAATTTCACATTAAACCTACTGCCTGGGCATTTGATGGGGCTGCATTTGCTCTTTGCAGGGCACTCCTCTCCCTCACCCTTGTATTTCAACTTTTTCTGAAATTAAAATCTCAGGATCTCTCATCTCCTGATGGGAATGTATGAGGCAGTTTTGCCATGTTTTTCTCCATCCATGGCTGTTTTAGATACAAAAGAGGTCTTTTTGAAATCAAAAAGTAAACTACTGGTGCAAAGGGGATTCTGGAAGACCAAAGAAGGCTAAAAGGTAGCCCCATAAAGGCTAGATTTTACTTACTCCAGACCCAAACACACTGCAACCCAGGCTTGATAAATGAAGATCTGTTGGCACCTTCCACAAAGCAGCTCTTTGAGAAGCCTGGAACCCAATGAACAGTCCTCACCTGGTTTGCTTGCCTCCTGGCATCTTCCTGCTTCTGGAGGAAATCCTCAGCCAAGGCCACCGCTTGGGAGCAAGTCTCTGGACCACATTCCTTGACCCAGGCCTCTATCTCTGGAGGCAGGACGGCCAAGAACTGCTCCAAGATCAGCAGCTCCAGGATCTGCTCCTTCGAATGCCTTTCAGCTTTCAGCCACCGGCAACACAGTTCCTGAAGTTGGCCGTAAGCCCCTCTTGGCCCCTCGGCCTCCTGATAGCGGAAATGTCGGAAACACTGCCGCTGCTCCTCCCGTCGCATGGCGTCCCCGTGCAAGATGGCGGCCCTCACTTTCTCGTAATCCTCCCTGCCTTCGGCCTCTAGGCCAGTGAAGGCCCGCTTGGCCTCTCCGCTCAATGCTGGCAGGAGCCGGGGCACCCACTCTTCTTTGGGCCACCGGCAGGCTTGGGCCACTTGCTCAAAGGAGGCCAGGAAGGCTTTGGTGTCGTCCCACGGCTCCTCCCTCGACTCAGATATTCCTGAGTTTGGGTGAGGGCCTTCCAGGCTCTTCAGGAACTCCTGCCATTGGGTTTCCCACTGCTGAAGTGAGTCTTTGTCACGCTCCTGTTTCACCTCTGCTGGTCTTCTTTGTAGGAATGCCTCTGTAGTCCCGACACGGCAGCTCCCTTTCATTTCCCATGACCCTTGCTCTGGTATAAGACTTGTAAGGTCTTTTTGGGTCTCCATTTTCATCCTCAGACAATACTAGCCTGAAGCGGTGGGAAATGCTAGACTCTACTGCAGCAAGATAAACATCTGCATGGAACTTTCTGCCTGGAAAATTGGAAGAAAAAAAAGAGGAATATTACTCAATCTTCAAATTTTAAAGAGGAATTGTTATGAAAACAAAGATGCAGGAGTAGCACGGAACTGGCCATTGAATAAGTAACTGTGATAAGGTAAAAAGAGTCTCCAAACCCAGGCTTGCAGGCCGGTTGCCCCCTAAACTTTAGTCTCTACATCTGAAACACCTTGAAGGCACACAAAAACAGCAGTCCTGTTTATTTATGTTTATTTATTTTCTGCATTCCCCTTCCTTCTCAAGCTTGCAGGGAACTCAGGGCTTACAAAAAAGGCACAATTTGATGCCACTTTTACATACATAAGATTAAAATATATACATTAAAATCAACAGTTACATTAAAAACCACACAGTCGAAAGGCATATTCCAGGAGCTGTTCCATAAATTGAACTATTCCATAGTCACTTATTTTGCAGATCACTTACTGCATTGCAGATAACTGTCCAAAGGCTTGGTTCCACGCCATGTTTTCCCTTTCATTCTAAAGGACAGGAAGGAGGGAGCTGATCTAATTTCACTGGGGAGGGAGTTCCATAGCCAAGGGGCCACCACTGAGAAGGCCCAGACTCTCGTCCCCGCCAATTGCATCTGCGAAGGAGATGGGACCGAGAGCAAGGCTCCCAGACAATATGTTTGAACAGATAAGCTGGGCCTGCTCTTTGAGCTTTTGCTGGCAGCTCACACCCTCTGCTTGTTGAGTCCTGATTTGAATGTGCCTCGCAGGCACGTCTGGCGGGGACGAGAGAGAGGGCCTTCTCGGTGGTGGCCCCCCGGCTGTGGAACACCCTCCCTGTTGACATCAGACAGGCGCCCTCCCTTATGGCTTTCCGTAAGGGCCTAAAGACCTGGCTATTTGAGAAGGCATTTAACTAAATGCTACATTAACTGGTAACGACAACTGGAACGGAATATGGACTATGAGATTGGTTATGATTCTGATGTGATGGAGCGGATTAGTTAGTGTAATTTAGATTAGTTTGTCTTATTGATATGTTGATTTCTTATTGTGCTCTATTGTAAACTGTGTTTTATATGTTGTACACCGCCGCGAGTCGCCCTAGGGCTGAGAGCGGCGGTCAACAAATGCAATAAATAAAATAATAAATAAATAAATATGTTTCATTCATTCAGCAAGGATCCGCAGCCTTTATAGGCTAAAGCCAGCACTTTGCATTGTACTCAGTAGCTGACTAGTGGCTAGAAGAGCTGTACCTGGCTCCAGTGAGCAGTCTGGTTGCTACCCGTTGGACCAATTGAAGCTTCCAAATAGTCTTCAAAGGCAACCCCACATATTTATTTATTTATTTTATTTATTTCTTGTACTTATTGACCGCCACTCTCAGCCCTAGGGGCGACTCGTGGCGGTGAACAGCAACATAGAAAGACAGCATACAAAAATCATAACAATACATAACAAACTACTACTACAACATATACTTATACTAAAAATCCGCTTCGTCTAATCCTAGGGTCATAGCCAGGTTCGTAGTCGTAGTCCATTCTAACGTCGTTCCACAGATACACTTAGTTGAAGGCCTGCTCGCAGAGCCAAGTTTTCAGGCTCCTACGAAAGGCCATCAAAGAGGGCGCCTGTCTAACTTCAGTAGGGAGGGTGTTCCACAACCGGGGGGCCACCACCGAGAAGGCCCTCTCTCTCGTCCCCGCCAGACGTGCCTGCGAGGCAGGCGGGACCGAGAGAAGAGCCTCCCCGGATGATCTCAAGGCCCTCGTGGGCTCGTAGGCCGAGATGCGGTCTGCAAGGTATTTTGGGCCGGAACCGTTTAGGGCTTTGTAGGCTAACACCAGCACCTTAAATTGGGCCCGGTAGCAAATCGGCAGCCAGTGGAGCTGGGACAGCAGGGGCGTTGTACGCTCTCTGCGTCCTGCTCCCGTTAATAACATGGCTGCCGCGCGTTGGACTAGCTGAAGCTTCCGGGCCGTCTTCAAGGGCAGCCCCACGTAGAGAGCGTTGCAGTAGTCGAGGCGGGATGTGACCAAAGCATGTACCACCGTGGCCAAGTCAGACTTCCCAAGGTACGGGCGCAGCTGGCGCACGAGCCTAAGCTGTGCAAATGCTCCCCTGGTCACCGCTGAAACCTGGGGCTCCAGGCTCAGCGATGAATCCAGGGTCACACCCAAGCTGCGAACCTGTGCCTTCAAGGGGAGTGCGACCCCGTCCAGCACAGGCTGTAACCCTATACCCTGCTCGGCCTTACGACTGACCAGGAGTACCTCTGTCTTGTCTGGATTTAATTTCAGTTTGTTCGCCCTCATCCAGACCATTACAGCGGCCAGACACCGGTTCAGGACTTCGACAGCCTCCTTAGTAGCAGGTGGAAAGGAGTGACAGAGTTGGACGTCATCTGCGTACAGGTGACACCGCACCCCGAAACTCCGGATGATCTCACCCAGCGGCTTCATGTAGATGTTAAACAGCAGGGGGGACAAGATGGAACCCTGAGGAACGCCACAGGTCAACGGCCGTGGCGCTGAGCAGGAGTCCCCCCATAACACCTTCTGGGTACGACCCTCCAGAAATGATCGGAGCCACTGCAACGCAGTGCCCCCGAGACCCATCTCTGCAAGGCGCCCCAGAAGAATACCGTGGTCGACGGTATCGAAGGCCGCTGAGAGGTCCAGGAGCACCAACAGGGACACACTCCCCCTGTCTAGCTCCCGGCGCAGATCATCCACTAAGGCGACCAAGACCGTCTCAGTACCATGTCCCGGTCTGAAACCAGACTGTGCCGGATCCAGAATATCCGTGTCTCTCAAGAATACCTGGAGTTGTGAGGCCACCACGCTTTCCATGACTTTGCCCAAGAAGGGAAGATTGGAAACAGGCCGAAAGTTGTCCAAATTAGTGGGGTCCAGTGATGGTTTCTTCAACAGCGGCTTTATAACAGCCTGTTTTAGGCTCGCTGGAATCTTGCCTTCCCGGAGGGAGGCATTAACCACCACCGTTACCCACTCGGCCAATCCCCCTCTGGCCTCCTTCAGAAGCCAGGATGGGCAGGGGTCTAGGATGGACGTGGTGGGCCTCATTCCTCCAAGTATCTTGTCCACATCCTCGGGTTTCACAAACTGAAAAGAATCCATCAAAATAGGACAAGCAGGTGCTCTTGTCACATCCACAGAGACTGCATTTAATGTGGCGTCCAGCCCAGAGCGGATCAAAGCGACTTTGTCTGCAAAGAACCGAGCAAATGCTTCACAGCGCGCTGCCGAGTTGTCAGGGCTCCCACCTGAGATAGGGGGAGTTAAAAGACCTCTGACAATCCGAAACAACTCCGCCGGACGGTTTTTTGCAGACGCAATAGTGGCCGCAAAGAAAGTTTTCTTTGCGGCTTTTATTGCCGCGGCATATGCCCTTAAAAAGGACACAAACCGTGTTCGATTTGGCTCGCTTGGATCCGAGCGCCACACGCTCTCTAGACCCCTCTTCTTTCGCTTCATCGCTGCCAGCTCCTCAGTGAACCAAGGGGCTGGTTTAGCTCGGTTACTTGAGAGGGGACGTTCCGGAGCGATCATGTCAATTGCCCTAGTCATCTCCCCATTCCAGAGAGCGACCAAGGCCTCGACATGAGCACCTACCAAGGTGGCGGGAAACTCCCCAAGAGCCGTCAGGAATCCATTTGGATCCATTAGCCTCCTGGGGCGGACCATCTTAATGGGTCCTCCACCCCTGCGGAGGTTAGGGGGCGCAGTGAGTCTAAATCTAATCAGGAAGTGGTCGGTCCATGGCAACGGAGAGATGGACAACTCCTCCACACCGCCACCCTGCTCCCATCCCTGGCAGAAAACCAAGTCCAATGTATGTCCAGCACAGTGGGTGGGGCCAGATATTTGTTGGGACAGCCCCATGGTTGCCATGGCAGACATGAAGTCCTGAGCCGCTCCTGTGAGGGTTGCCTCGGCATGGATGTTGAAGTCCCCCAGCACAAGAAGCCGTTGGGACTCCACTACCAGGCTCGAGACCACCCCCGCTAGCTCAGGCAGGGAGACTGTAGTGCAGCGAGGTGGACGGTACACTACAAGAATCCCTGTTCTGTCCCGGTCACCCACCCTCAGGTGGACGCATTCAAAATTTGTGGTCTGCGGGATGGGGCTCCTGGTCAGATGGATGGAATCTCTATAGACCACTGCGACCCCGCCTCCCCGTCCTCCGGCTCTTGGTTGGTGTTGCACGGAGAAACCTGGAGGACAAAGCTGGGAGAGGTTTACGCCCCCAGCTTCATCCAACCAGGTCTCCGTGATGCACGCCAGATCTGCCCGCTCCTCCAGGATTAAATCCTGGATCCAGGTCGTTTTTCCGTTGACAGATCTGGCGTTCAACAACACCACCTTCAAACCAGAGGGCCCACTCACCTGGTTACACCAATTTACCTTAGGAGACCTTTTGGGAATGGTTAATTTAGATAAGCGGTCCGAATTAGGCCGAATTCGAGGTCTCCTTCTCCCGCATCTCCTCCTTCCCACCACGACCTCTATGGGGGCCCCTCGGCTAGTGGAACACCTCCCCCCCTCCATGCCGCAATCCTGGGGTATGAGAACACTGTCTCCTACAGTTGTTGTTAGGTGCATTGGTTCTTGCCAGCATCTCCCCTCCCCCTCCTCCCCCCTCCCCACCACACCTTCAATCACAGGCTCCAGGCCACCTCCCCTTCTGCCCCCACCGCTACACCCAAGCAGCAGAAACAATACACAAAAGGGGGCAGGGGACCACATGGGTAATAACTAGATGGCGGTCGATGTTCCGACAGCTTCTATAGAACAGTTCTTACAGTGCATAGATTTTAGGAGCAGTCCATCAGTGATCGTAACTGATCGCAATTAGTTAATAGTAACACACATTCAAGGCACATTAATAAAGTGCTAGGTCTAAAGTGCTCTACTTAGCGATATAAAGTGTGGCACAGAGGGACAGGGAAGGGGCGAAAGTGCTGGTGCGATCTAGCAGCAGATGGCAGGCGCCTAAGTGCTCTAATTTGTTCTTATTACTATAACGACAAATGGTAACAAATGACTACCAGAAGTGTATTAGTTGATGGTAAGTTAGCACCATGCCATTATGGCCCAGATGGAACCTCTAGACAGTTGGAATAGCGGATGGGGGCTTCCGGAGATGGTAACTCAGCAATGGGGCAGAGGGGCCGGCCCAAAGGCCTATCTAGGGCCAGCACAAGGTCTACACAATATTAGATCTACACAATATTAGCACCAAGGTCTACACAATATTAGGCCAGCGCCAGGTGTTTGCGCAGTGTTAAATCGGCTAAGAGGTTTATCCACTCATAAAGGTCAGCACAAAGATGAATATAAATCAGGCACAAACAAAGTTCTACACAAAGTTGGTCAACACAGTCACACAGACGCTGTTGGCTGGTAGCTGGTAGTAAGGCGGACCCGGCAGCTGTGACCAGGTAGCGAGTCAAATGGTGGTGGCCACGATGGAGGGTGGCCACAATGGCGAGGTCACCCGGTCGCTGCAGCGGTAACAGTGGGACGACAGTCGCGATGGAGAGGCGAGGTGCCCAAGACGACTATAACAGGCGGCTCGGTCCAGCAGTTCCACGGTGGCCCGGCTGCGGGGGGGCAATGGTGATAAAGAGGCGAGTGCCCAAAATGGCGGCCGCAGCAGCGGCCGTGCGCTCTGTGCTCTGCCCCAAGCCAACAGCCAGAGGAAGCCCGGTAGCAGAGGCGGCCACAGCGAACCACGCCCAGGCCGCAGCGGCGACTCGGTCCAAGCAGGCCGCAGCAGCGGCCCGGCTAAGCCAGGCGCCCGGCCGTGCAGTCCAGCCGCAACTCAGTGACTCAGTGACTCAGCGGCGGTAGCAGTGGCGGCCACAACCGCCAGGCAACCCGGCGACTCACCAGCACTCCACTAGCAGCCGCAGCGGTGGTGCGAAGCCGGTGACGACGGCCGCAAACAGTCGCGGCGGCAGCGGCGGCGGTGGGTTATCAGGCGGCCCGGAGGTCCTCCAGCGGTTCAGCGGCCTCCGTAGCCAAATGGTGGGCGCCAAGATGGCGGTCCCCGCAGCAAGGCGGCAGGGCGGTAAGGCGGCAGCCCAGCAGCGCAGCCCAACAGGGTCACCCAGCGGTGGCCGGGCAACAGAAATCGCCGCTCCCGGTGGCAAAGCTCCCCGTCAATTGAATGAATTTCCGCGTCTCCGCGTTCCAGGGAGCCACGCTGCAATGGCGCTGCAATGGCGGCGGCGTTCACAGTGCTCGCCCGCTCGCCCACCTCCGCCTCCTGGTCTACGCTCCCTGCGCTCCGGTCCTCTTGGCCCGATAGAGTGCTGGCCTTCACGACCCTCCGTTCTGGTGGTCGTAGGGGATGTAGGGGAGGTGAGTACCCCAGGATTCCCCTGGATTGCTTTACTTTAGCGGCGCAGCTCTGTCTTGTTGCTGCTGCCCGCCATAGCCGGAACCGGAAGTCGTTGCAGTAGTCTATTCGGGATGTAACCAGACTGTGCACTATCGTGGCTAAGCCTGACTTCCTAAGGTACGGGCACAACTGGCACATAAGTTAAACGGTTTCGGCCCAGCTTATCTATCCGAATGCATCTCTTCCTACGAACCCACCAGAAACTTGAGATCGGAGAAGGAGGCCCTGCTTTCGATCCCGACTGAGGAAGACACTTTAAAAACATCTGTCTCCTGGCTGTTGCTTATTATTTCTGTTGTGGTTTTATATTGTATTTAATGTTTTATGTGCATTTTGATATTATGTATATTACTTGTTGCCTGTAAACCGCCTTGAGTCGCCGAAAGGCTGAGAAAGGCAGTATAAAAATACAGTAAATAAATAAATATATGCCGCCCTTCTCAACCTGAAGGAGACTCAAAGCGGCTTACAAGGTATATGCACATACAATAGATTATATTATTAGAATAGTTCAATATCAGTATTATATATTACTATATTGTACTATACCATTATACTGTGATATGATTAGTAATATTACATGTAATACAAAAGATATAATTATAATATTGTATTATTATGAGTATTATATTGTATTACATTATACTATTATATGTATATACTATATATTATATTATTAGCATAGTACAATATCAGGATTATATATTACTATATTGTACTATATCATTATATTGTGATATTATTAGTAATATTACATGTAATATAAAATATATAATTATAATATTGTATTATTATGAGTATTATATTGTATTACATTATAATATTATATGTATATACAATATATCATATTATTAGCATAGTACAAGATCAGTATTACATATTACTATATTGTACTACACCATTATATTGTAACATGGTCTGATAGGAGCTCTAATGCAATCTGTTTTATTCTGTTATGCTTATTGTGCTTTATATTGGTTGCAGTATTTCATGATGCTCCAATTTTAATGTGTTTTATTTTATGGATTGTTTTGCTTTTGTCAAAGGCTTTCATGGCTGGAATCACTAGGTTCTTGTGGGTTTTTTCGGGCTATAGGGCCATGTTCTAGAGGCATTTTCTCCTGACGTTTCGCCTGCATCTATGGCAAGCATCCTCAGAGGTAGTGAGGTCTGTTGGAATTAGGACAATGGGTTTATATATCTGTGGAATGGCTGTGGTGGGGCAAGAAGCTCTTTCCTGCTGCAGTTAGGTGTGAATGTTTCAACTGATCACCTTCATTAGCATTTGAAGGCCTGGCTGAGCCTGGGAAAATCTTATGTTGAGAGGTGTTAAAATGTGCCTGGTTGTTTCCTCTCTGCTGTTTTGCTGTTGTAATTTTAGAGTTTTTTAATACTGGTAGCCAGATTTTGTTCATTTTCATGGTCTCTTCCTTTCTGTTGAAATTGTCCACATGCTTGTGGATTTCAATGGCTTCTCTGTGTAGTCTGACATGGTGGTTTTGAGAGTGGTCCAGCACTTCTGTGTTCTCAAATAATACGCTGTGTCCAGGTTGGTTCATCAGGTGCTCTGCTATGGCTGACTTCTCTGGTTGAAGTAGTCTGCCGTGCCTTTCATGTTCCTTGATTCGTGTTTGGGCGCTGCGTTTGGTGGTCCCTTAACACCTCTCAACAAGAGATTTTCCCAGGCTCAGGCAGGCCTTCAAATGCTAATGAAGGTGGTCAGTTGAAACATTCACACCTAGCTCCAGCAGAGAAGAGCTCTTTGCCCCACCCCAGCCATTCCACAGATATATAAACCCATTGTCCTATTTCCAACAGACCTCACTACCTCTGAGGATGCTTGCCATAGATACAGGCGAAACGTCAGGAGAAATGCCTCTAGAACATGGCCCTATAGCCCGAAAAAACCCACAAGAACCTAATAATATTGTATTATTATGAGTATTATATTGTATTACATTATAATATTATATGTATATACAATATATTATATTATTAGCATAGTACAATATCAGTATTATATATTACTATATTGTACTATACCATTATATTGTAATATTATTAGTAATATTACATGTAATATAAAATATATAATTATAATATTGTATTATTATGAGTATTATATTGTATTACATTATAATATTATATGTATATACAATATATCATATTATTAGCATAGTACAAGATCAGTATTACATATTACTATATTGTACTACACCATTATATTGTAACATGGTCTGATAGGAGCTCTAATGCAATCTGTTTTATTCTGTTATGCTTATTGTGCTTTATATTGGTTGCAGTATTTCATGATGCTCCAATTTTAATGTGTTTTAGTTTATGGATTGTTTTGCTTTTGTCAAAGGCTTTCATGGCTGGAATCACTAGGTTTTTGTGGGGTTTTTCGGGCTATAGGGCCATGTTCTAGAGGCATTTCTCCTGACGTTTGCCTGCATCTATGGCAAGCATCCTCAGAGGTAGTGAGGTCTGTTGGAATTAGGACAATGGGTTTATATATCTGTGGAATGGCTGGGGTGGGGCAAAGAGCTCTTCTCTGCTGGAGCTAGGTGTGAATGTTTCAACTGACTACCTTCATTAGCATTTGAAGGCCTGGCTGAGCCTGGGAAAATCTTCTGTTGAAAGGTGTTAAGATGTGCCTGGTTGTTTCCTCTCTGCTGTTTTGCTGTTGTAATTTTAGAGTTTTTTAATACTGGTAGCCAGATTTTGTTCATTTTCATGGTCTCTTCCTTTCTGTTGAAATTGTCCACATGCTTGTGGATTTCAATGGCTTCTCTGTGTAGTCTGACATGGTGGTTGTGAGAGTGTTCCAGCATTTCTGTGTTCTCAAATAATATGCTGTGTCCAGGTTGGTTCATCAGGTGCTCTGCTATGGCTGACTTCTCTGGTTGAAGTAGTCTGCCGTGCCTTTCATGTTCCTTGATTCGTGTTTGGGCGCTGCGTTTGGTGGTCCCTTAACACCTCAACAAGAGATTTTCCCAGGCTCAGGCAGGCCTTCAAATGCTAATGAAGGTGGTCAGTTGAAACATTCACACCCAGCTCCAGCAGAGAAGAGCTCTTTGCCCCACCCCAGCCATTCCACAGATATATAAACCCATTGTCCTATTTCCAACAGACCTCACTACCTCTGAGGATGCTTGCCATAGATGCAGGCGAAACGTCAGGAGAAATGCCTCTAGAACATGGCCCTATAGCCCGAAAAAACCCACAAGAACCTAATAATATTGTATTATTATGAGTATTATATTGTATTACATTATAATATTATATGTATATACAATATATCATATTATTAGCATAGTACAAGATCAGTATTACATATTACTATATTGTACTACACCATTATATTGTAACATGGTCTGATAGGAGCTCTAATGCAATCTGTTTTATTCTGTTATGCTTATTGTGCTTTATATTGGTTGCAGTATTTCATGATGCTCCAATTTTGATGTGTTTTAGTTTATGGATTGTTTTGCTTTTATGTTTTAGGGACATTTTGTCCCACATGGAAACAGCCCTGAGTCCCTTTGAGAAGATGGTGGAGGGGTATAAAAAATTATTATTATTATTATTATTATGATTTCTCATCTCAAAGGAGGAGAGGCAACATTTCCCATCAGCCCAGCCTTTCCTTATTTCCTCTCCTTTCCCTCCCTCTGTCTTCACTCACCTTCATCCCTCCAGTTCCTTCCATCCAAATCCAAGAACTCAGGCCCAGATCTTTCTCCTTTTCCTCCAAGAAGAAAAGCCAAAAGCAGGAGTTCCCAAAGAAGCCACTTCTGGAGGAGAAGCCCAACCAGGAAGAGGAGGACACAGCCCACATCCGGGCAAAACAAAAACCACGGCCGGAAGTCCACTCTAGCCACCTGCAGTTCCAAATCACAAAGGTTTGCATTCTAGCCGCCTTGGCTCCTCCAGGCTTTTGGACTCCAACTCCCAGAAGCCTCCGCTTCCTTGGACAATGAGCAGGAACTCTGGGAACTGAAGTCCATAACACTGGAAGAGCAGAGCCTGGGAAACACGTGGCTTTTGAAACTGGGAGGAAGTGCTTTTCCATTACCCCTGTTAATGGTTTAATGAAGTACTTTTTCCATCATACCCTTAATCATAGAATCCAACCCCATTCGGCCAAGAAGCAGGAAAATTGCATTCAAAGCACTCCTGACAGATGGCCATCCAGCCTCTGTTTAAAAGCCTCCAAAGGAAGGATCCTCCACCACACTCCGGGGCAGAGAGTTCCCCTGCTGAACAGCTCTCACAGTCAGGAAGTTCTTCCTAATGTTCAGGTGGAATCTCCTTTCTTGTAGTTTGAAGCCATTGTTCCATGTCCTAGTCTCCAGGGCAGCAGAAAACAAGCTTGCTCCTCCTCCCTATGACTTCCTCTCACATATTTATACATGCCCTCATCATATCTCCTCTCAGTCTTCTCTGCTTCAGGCTAAACATGCCCACCTCTTTAAGCCACTCCTCATAGCGCTTGTTCTCCAGAACCTTGATCTTTTTAGTTGCCCTCCTCTGCACACATTCTAGTTTGTCAACATCTCCCTTCAATTGTGGTGCCCAGAATTGGACACAGTGTGATTCCAGGTGTGGTCTGAACAAGGCAGAATAGTGCATGGGTAGCATAACTTCCCTGGATATCCTTTGCAGACTTTCCTTGCAGAAACAAGAATTTGATCGCTCCTCTGCTCACATTTGCTGTGAATATTGCCTTAAACTCCATCATTTTATTTTCCCACATGCCTAGATCACTGTTGCCATAAGCTACAAACACAAAATTTTGAAAACACGTATTAGACACATAAGGCTTTCAAGCGGTGTAACATTTGTTACCATAGAATGTTACACCGTTTTGATTCCAGGAGACACTGTAGAATTTTACAATATTTGGTCCAGCGGAAATCCCATGTGTTTATTTATTTATTTACTTACTGTATTTGTATACCGCCTTTCTCAGCCTATCGGCGACTCAAGGCGGTTTCCAACAAAACAGTATACACAGTATCATAGAACAATTTAAAACATTACAATTGCATGTGTTGCACCCTGAGTGGGTCATGGCTGAGCATGTTTGGGCTCTTCAATTGAAAAAAAAAAACAACAATCCTGTTTCTTCAGACTTATCCTCACAAGCCTGGTGCTTAAATCTATCGTTGGCTGTTGTCTCTTCTCTCTGCAGGTGGTGCCCTTTCATGGGAGGGAGTTATGTCAGGAAGCCCAATGCAGCCATATTGAAGAGGCTGCCCAGGTAGTCCTGAAATGAAGAGAGGCCATGCTATGAGGAGGAGGAGGATGGGAAGGAACTGGGGAATGTTACATAGATAAGAGCATCTGGCAGTGTTTTGAGAATGTAAACTGTTTTGAGACTCGAAAGTGTAAACTGTGAGAATGCGAACAGGAGGGGTGAGGATTCGTTTCTAGGTACAGTAGAGTCTCATTTATCCAACATACGTTTGTGCAGCAAGCGGATCTTAGCTACATCCCATGCACAAGACTCACAGACAAGAGTAGAAATGAACAGAAAAATCTTTACTCTTAAAAGCAGAGATTAAATACAAATTTGCAATGTTGCATACAAAAACAAACAGTGCAAGAAACTTACATAGTCTTTGTAAGTTACACAAAACAAGGCATCTTCATCTTCAATCAAATCAGAAAGCAAAACGTAAGCCTTGAGCAAACAGCTATTCCACCATGACCTCCTTTAGAGCAGCATAACGGCTTCTCTCCAACCTGCTCCTCAGAGCAGAGCCTTTGAGCATAGATCTCCTCAGAGAAAAATCTCTCCAGAACTGTATTCTAAAAACCCATACAGTTATACCCTATCGGGTGTGGTCCAAGATTGCTGGTTGACCTACATTACCAGCTGCACATAATAATTACCATCATAAGGTTTTTCTTCAACACACACACTTGGTCCTGCTACAACTTACTGTAACAACATAAACGGGCCAGCAGAATTTTGGATAAGCGAAAATGTTGGATAATAAGGAGGGATAACGGAAAAGCTTATTAAACATCAAATTACATTATGGTTTTACAAACCATGCACCAAAACATCATGTTTGAAATCCAAAACACCTGAAAGAATAGAGTTGGGAACACACTGATATACTGTAGAGTAACCATCTCTAGAATCCCAAATTGAGAATAGTGGAATGGCAACACCAAATAGAAAACCAAAGTTTTGTCAAAGGCTTTCATGGCCAGGATCGCTTGGTTGTTGTAGCTTTTTCGGGTTGTACGGCCATGTTCTAGAAGCATTCTCTTCTGATGTTTTGCATACAACAACCCAAATCATAGTTTGCTAAACACGAATATTGGTCAACTGTCTCCAGAAACTCATCTGGAGCTGGGTGGCTGTGTTGGGAGGGCTTGGCTAGTGTCTTCCAGCCTAGCAGAATGGGGCTGGACTGGATAGCCTTCCCTATGGAGATGCTCTTTCCTCCACCTTCTCCTCCCAGTTTTTGTGACAGGAAAGAAAGCCAGCCGCTTTCTTGACCACATATCAAAGGTGCAATGTTTCCAATTGGCAACATGATGGCGTCGGATAATACAGAGGGTCAGATGAGCGGAGGTCGAATAACTGTATATACTGGGGCAGTGGAGAGGACAGTTAAAACTGACTTTCTGGGATTCTGGCAAGAAGGACAATAAAGACTTGTTTCCAGCGATATTCATTGTGGGTGTGTCTTAATTTCAAGAGATTCCAGGTTCCGACACACCTGATATAAGGTATTCATTTTGAAGATGTCACTAGACTGTTCTTTGGATTGGTTGAAAAGACTAACACTGCCATACCAGCATTCAGCAAATGCTGAATTTCATGTGGTTGCTTCTCTTGGTGTGGATTCTCGTGTACAGTCAGCCTGTTACTTTGGCCAAAGTCCTTCCCGCATCTAAACAGGTGTACGGTTTCTCTTTAGTGTGGATTCTCTTATGTTTGACAAACGTGGACTGGTTGCGGAAGCTCTTGCTACATTTGGAGCAGGTATACGGCTTCTCTCCTGTGTGCATCCGTTGATGGATGTTTAGTTTTCCTCGGTCACTGAAACCCTTTCCGCACTGTGTACATTTATAGGGTCTCTCCCCAGTGTGGACTATCTGGTGTGACTTGAGATGGGCACTGCGACCAAAGCATTTTCCACACTCCAAGCACTGATATGGCTTCTCACCAGTGTGGATAATCTGGTGCGTCGAGAGGTGGTCCCTCCGACCAAAGGATTTCCCACACTTGAAGCACTGATATGGCTTCTCCCCAGTGTGCTTCCGCTGATGGATGCTAAGGCTTCCATGCTGGCTGAAACTCTTTCCACACTGTGTACATTTATAGGGTTTCTCCCCAGTATGGACTATCTGGTGTGACTTGAGATGGGCACTCCGACCAAAGCATTTCCCACACTCCAAGCACTGATACGGCTTCTCCCCAGTGTGGATTATCTGGTGTGTCAAGAGATGGTCCCGCCGACCAAAGGATTTCTCACACTCCAAACATTTAAACAGCTTCTCCTTTTTTTGAATCCCTGGATGCTTCATCTTACCAAGATCCGAAATCATACACTGTCTTTCATCTGCAGAAATACTTTGATTTACGTATATGTCGGAACTTGACCTTTCATAAAGCATTTCACATTCAATGAAGTTTCCACTCTGATTGAAAGGCTTTGCAAGCATTAAATCTGATTCATTCTCAGGGTGAATTCTCCAATGAACCTTGGGGAAAGCAATTCCCTTTTTTTCTTTCTCACTTTCCTGCTGGACCGAGATTATGTGGAAGTCTCCAACATGAAACGGGAAGGAATTGGCTTCAGTCTCTTCTGTGTGGCTTCCGTCTTGGCCCACTGGCCCATCTTGGCTCCAAACATTCTCCTCTAATGCTTCACAGTCTTTTCTTTTTGAGGAATCCTCACCCAATTGTCTCTCATTTTCACTTTTCCACTCATCACCTGATGGAAATAAAGCAGAAGGCAAATTAAGACCCATTCTTAGAATGCTAGCAGGAAGCTTCCCAGAAAGGTTTAGGGGGAACAAGACAATTGCTCCCGAGTCTTTAGAAATTCTTCCCTGGGAATCCTGGGAAGTTAGGGTTGTCCCTTCTTTCTTTCTTTTCACTGACCAAGGAAAATTGTAAAATCTGAGAAAGCTTCTGAATCTTGACTAAGAGCCAAAAAAGAAATTGAACCGCATACTGTTTTTAATTTTTTTCATTTTTTCCTGTTCCTTGCACAGCATCCATTTATGTGGATCAACAAGCTTCATGCTTATTTAATTCCTTTATAAGATTAATTCCTTTATACAGCTCTGTCTTCAGGTGTAAAAGTTATTGACCCACAAACAACACAGATTATGAGAAGGGTACCGTACTTTGCCATTAACTAAGAGGGCAACTATGCCCACACATCTCCTTAGGAAAGTCTCCTCTGTAGGTTATAAAACAGAGGTGGAATTGCCAATCGCTGGGGAGCTGTAAGTATGTTTCCCTGCATGTCAGAATGGAGAGGGACTGGATGGATGGTCCTTGCGGTCTCCTCCAACTCTGGGATTCTGTGTCATCACAGGACCCACTGGTAACCCCATCATCCACAATACTGGAAGTATTTTAAGGCATCAAGAATCAATATGTACAATTTCAAGTATACATTTACACTTAAGGGAAAATTATCTCTCTAGGCATTTGCTAGATCCTCCAGTGTGATTCTACGGGATGTTTCTCCTGGATGTTTTAGAACTTTAATGGCCAGAACTGAATACAATAATCCAGTGGAGGATTGACCAGCGATTATGAGGATTTCCAGACCAGGGGTCTACCTATGCAGGCCCTTAACTTACCCCAGGAAGGGGAAATGTTGGCCTTCCAGATACTACAACTTTCAATCCCCTCTGGCACAGCAATACAAATGCTTGGAGCCCCATGTACCTGGCAGACCCTTTAGCTTAGACTATCCAAAGGAAAAAGGGAAGGCTCTACTAAGGGGGAGAAGCAGCCACAGTGCTGTGGTTAGTCTAGGAAGAACATATCCAACATCCAAGGACACAAAAACCCATTCTTCTTACCCAAGGCTCCAGCATCCCCACTGTTATCTTCCTGTTTGGTCTCCACATGAAATATCTTCTGCTTAATCTCAAGCAGGGCTTGGGCACCTTCAGGGGAACTCACCATGTCTTCTTCCTCTAACAGCACCTAAAATATTTATCACTTGTTAGCCAAAAGTATATTTTAAGTACATGGCTTTCTTCTGCTCTACACCCTCCTCAAAGTATTTGTGAGGTAGGTCAGAGCCAGAGAAAATAACTAGCCCATAGTCACACAATGCATTTCATGGTCCAGAAGGGACTTGAACCCAGATCTTGCATGTCACAATTTCGCATTAAACCTACTGCCTGGGCATTTGATGGGGCCTGCACTTGCTCTTTGCAGGGCACTCCTCACCCACACTGTATTTCAACTTTTTCTGAAATTAAAAAATCAGTATCCCTCATCCCCTTATGGGAATTTGTGAGGCAGTTTTGCTATGTTTTTCTCCTCTCATGGCTGTTTTATATACAAAAGTGACCTTTTAAAAACTATTGGGGCAAAAATGATTCATAGATGGTACATTACACCCCAAAAGATTGCAAAAATCTATAAAAATGCTTCCAACAAATGTTGGAAATGTGAACAGCAAACAGGATCCTTCTTCCATATTTGGTGGTGTTGCCCAAAAACCAAAGAATTCTGGAATATGGTACATAATGACATACAAAAGATTCTCAAAAAACAAATAAAAAAGGAACCAGAGTACTTGGAATGCTTGACTTTGAAGGAGAGAAAAACAATGATATAATTTTCAATTACCTAACCTCTGCAGCTAGAATTGTATTTGCTAAGAATTGGAGACAGAAAGAAATACCTCAAAGAGGAGATTGGCAAAATAAGATACTGGAAATAATGAACATGAACGAGTTAACATATTGGCTATCGCCAAATGAAGGAATCCCAAAGAAACAAACAAATTGGGACTCGGTAAAAGCTTACTTCAAGCAACAAAAAATAGGTGTGGGGATGAGGGTTTATTTTGTTTAGGATAGGGGTTTTGTGATGAGTGTAAGGTCTGATATGTGTAAAATGCCATGTGCTGATTTCCTGAATGTTATGGAAAAAAATTAAGAGAAAGCTTTGACTGAAAGTAGTAGAAAACAGGCAGAAATAGCAAGTCTATGTGTATTAAGATATGTAAATGATAATAATTTGTACTTAATGTCAAAATTAACTGATTGATTGAATAGGGTAGATAGGCATGTACACGTCAAAAATATTGGTACCTGATTATATCTGCCATAATTTGCTTTTCTGTTATGTACCATAATCAAAATAAACAGTTTTAATAAAAAAAAATAGAGATCATTTCTTGAAAGGAGGAAACTGGAAATAAAGAAGAACTAAAATAGGGAAGCAACTTTTAACATTACTGTTGAATAAATTTCTAAAAGAATAGTTGGAAGTCCCACAATTTTTTTTTTAATTTTTGGAGAAGACTTGAATTCCTGCACACCCCAGGGACTAAGTTTCTAATACACACATATATTTATTATTGTTATTTTTTTCTCTTTAATTTTTTTATTTTTTCCTTCTCTTTTTTCTCTCTGCTATACTTTATTTCCTACTTTTCTATCTTCTTCACAATATTCTCCCACTTTCCATGTAACTATATACCCTACCAATAAAAATTAATTTAAAAAACTATTGGGGCAGACCTAAGAAGGCTCAAAGATAGCCCATACAGGCTACATTTTACTTACTCCAGAACTAAACACATTGCCACCCTGTCTTGGGTGCTTTGAATGCAATATTCCTGCTTCTAGGCAGGGGGTTGGACTGGATGGCCCATGAGGTCTCTTCCAACTCTATGATTCTATGATAAATGAAGAAGATCTGTTGGCACCTTACACAAAGCAGCCCTTAGAGAAGCCTGCAAATGGTCCTCACCTGGTTTGCCTGACTCTTGGCCTCTCGCTGCTTCTGGAGGAAGTCCTCCGCCAAGGCCACTGCCTGGAAGCAAGTCTCTGGACCACATTCCTTGACCCAGGCCTCTATCTCTGGAGGCAGGACGGCCAAGAACTGCTCCAAGATCAACAGCTCCAGGATCTGCTCCTTCGAATGCCTTTCAGCTTTCAGCCACCGGCAACACAGTTCCTGAAGCTGGCCGTAAGCCCCCCTAGGCCCCTCGGCCTCCCGGTAGCAGAAATGCCGGAAACACTGCCGTTGCTCCTCCCGACGCATGGCGTCCCTGTGCAAGATGGCAGCTTTCACTTTCCCATAATCCTCCCTGCCTTTAGCCTCCAGGCCGACGAAGGCCCGCTTGGCCTGTCCGCTCAATGCTGGCAGGAGCCGGGGCACCCACTCTTCCTTGGGCCACCGGCAGGCTTGGGCCACTTGCTCAAAGGAGGCCAGGAAGGCTTTGGCATCGTCCCATGGTTCCTCCCTCGACTCAGAGGCCCCCCAATTTGGGTGAGGGACTTCCACGCTCTCCAGGAACCCCTGCCATTGGGTTTCCCACTGCTGAAACGAGTCTTTGTCGGGCTCCTGTTTCACCTCCATTGGTCTCCCTTGCAGGAATGCCTCCATTGTCCCAACATGGCAGCTCCCTCTCACTTCCCGTGACATCTGCTGTGGTATAAGACTTATAAGGTCTTTTTGGGTCTCCATTTTCATCGTCAATACTAGTCTTTAATGGTGGGAAATGCTAGACTCTACTGCAGCAATCAAAACATCCACATGGAGCTTTCTGTCTGGAAAACCGTAAGAAGAAAGGACTATTACACAGCAATTACATTTCAAACATGAGTTATAAAAAAAGAAAGATGCAGAGGTAGAATGGAACTGTTCATTGAATAACCATGGAAAGATAAAAACAGTACACTCTGGCCCCTGTATCCATGGGAGCCACTTTCCTGAATTTACAGCAAAAACAGAAAACTATGGATAATATTGAACCTTATTGAAATGAGTGACTCTATCAGCACAGAGTTGCCCTAACAACCAAAGCCAGGAGTGTCAGATCCATTTTCATCAAGGGCCACATCAGCCTTCAAAGGGCCACTGAAAACTGGAGCTATGAGGCAATGCCTCAAAAATGGAGGAGAACATTGCAGGAGCAATGATAGCTCTCCCAAAAAGCTGCAACTGTTGTTTTGAAAGCAGAAGCCATTTTGAAAACCGAGGCGCATTGCTCTCCTCAACAAATTGATTTAAAAGAACAGAAATAACTTTGGGGGCTGCACATTGCTTAAGTTGTATTGACGATCATCCTGAATCAATCTCCTGAATCAATTTATCAACCTTTTGCTTGTGAAACTCAGTGGTTGCTATCACAGGTCATCCAACTCTTTGTTTGTCACGCAAGTCAAATGTTCTCACCTCAACATCTTTAAACTTACTCGCCCAATGATGCACAGTACTCACATCAACACAATCCCCATAAACAGCTTGCATTCTCTGATGAATCTCCTTTGGGGTGACACCTTCTGCTGTCAAGAATTCAATGACTGCACGTTGCTTAAGTCACATTGACTGACCGTTTGTGCAGGGTTTCATACTTCACACTTTAACAACACAACTGTTCAAATGCTAAGGCTTCCCGCCAAAATGGAACTGTAGAGGAGAGGCTACTGAACAAGCCAGTACCTGCCGCATACCAGTACTGCTATCTGTTGAGGGGTTACGAAGGTGGAGGCATTACTTTTCATTCAAGCCTCGTAAGTAAGTGGCAAACAGAGAAAAACAATGACTTCATTGAGAATTTCGCACATGTTCAGTGAGGTGAGAAGATGGAGTCAGGGGAGAGACAAATGCTGAGGGTGGAGCCGGGATGGAATTGGGAGAAGCATGGGAAAGGGTGAAGGAATGTTAGTGTGGAACGTGTGACCTGCTTCCAAAAATTGTTTCCGTTTTCTTGGTTCTGGATGG